ATACAAGTGCTACTATAGTTCTGCCTGTAAACCATGTGTTTTAGGCAGCCATTACTATACTGGCGCATATAGTTGCGCACCGATAGCTAAATAATTGATTAAACATTAATATCGATAATACAAAAATAATTCAAATACAAAAAATAACTAAAGCTTAGTAATAGAAAATGATTATATAATTATAGCTTATAAATGCATATCAAAATTGTGATTATATAAAATGTAATAATATTTAGTAACAAAATAATAAGCGTAGAAATGTATTCATTTCATATATATATATATATATATATATATATATATATATATATATATATATATATATATGTAAATAACCATGGTAAAATTAACAATTATTATTTAAGTAGAACAACATAATCGATCTAGTTAATTGTTTGATATTTTTTGTTTTATTACACCTACACTATTAATATACACTTTTAATATAAACTATTGTTTTATTAATAAAAAAATGTCACTAAATTTATATGAATGAAACTTTTGTTTATAAACTTTATATATTATATAAATTTATATATAAAACATATAACATTATATTTTTAAAAAAGTATCATGGTAGATTTCAATAGATTTATTGAAATTATTCTATATTATATTTATATAGATATAATTATATCTATTAATATAATATCTATAATATCTATAGTATTTATATTAGTAATAGTAATATTATTTTATATTTACAAAATATTTATATATTAAAGTAAATTTATTTATTAATCATTTTTAGTTATATATAAAATATCATACTGTACTATACGTATAATTAATTAAACATACATGCTAACTTATAATTATTGATAAACATAACTTATTATAAATTTTTTTTTGGATTATTTTTTAAACTATGATTTATATTATAGATTTATATTTGATGTAATATCAATTAACATTTATGCCAAATATAATATCAATAATAATAAATATTATATTTATGTTCAATTTTTTTTGTTAGTATATTATTTAATATTGCAAATAATATATTATATAAATTTTAGAAATAAATGATCTAGCTAAAAACACTACTATTAAAATTAATGTTTTATGCGCATGCATTTGTTTGTTAAATTATTTGGGTTTTAATATAATTATTTTAATGATATTTTAAGCTAATAAAAAAATTAATGGTTAGTTTATATATATAATATAACTATTTATATAAAACAATATATTCTGTAAATTTACAGTATATTACAGTATTTACAGGTATATACTGTACTTACTGTAGATATTTAACTAATAATCAACATTTTATATATACAGTATATATAAGTTAATTATTGCTCAATAATTTTATATAAGTGTTTAGTAGTCAATAGTATTAAGTAAAACAGTAATCATAGTAATAATTATAATTATAATTATCATTGAATTTAATTAGCAATTTTAGCAAAATGTTTGTTTATTTTTTTGTATTTTTATAAAGTTATATATATATATATATTTTAAAAAACTATAAAACTTTTTAAACTTGATAAACTTTTATTTATAAAAAAAATCTATAATATTATTGTTATGTTTTAATAGTTTGGCTAATTTTTTTTGGATATTAATTTAAATGAATTATTCTATAATACAAACATTTTAATGGATTATCAAAATAAAACTAAATTTCCTACCGATACTGTCATCAATATAACAGGTGAAAGTAAGTAATATATATCATATGATTATTGATATCATTTTTTTGTTTATTTGTTTTGTCACATTGTTAATATTTATGTTTAAATAATAAAAATAATAATAAAATAAAATTAGTTACACAAATCAATCAATTTTGTGACAATAATATTATATATAATATTGAAATTAAGCTTTTTGATTTGTTTTATTAATTAAACTAAATTTTATTTTATTTTTTGATCACATATTAAGTATTAGCTAATCTACTAATAAATATGTATTTATATATATATTAGCATTATTCTATAATTAATTATTATGAGTTATTTCAATTGTTATAATGATAAAAATAATACTGTATTATTAGTTATAATAATAAATTATTTTTAAAAAAGTTTTACATCTAATAAATCTATATTTAAATCAATTAAAACCGTTTCTTAATATTATACTATAGTTTAATAAATTGTAATTTAATTTTTTATTATTAAAGTATTTAATTTATTAAATTAGGTGTTAAGTATTTTATTATAGATGTTTATATATTTTATTTAGTTATGCTTGTTTATTTATTAAACAAAAATGTGTATAATGTTAATGAATAAATTATTTATCAATAATAATTATTTTCTATTTTATATTGGATTTGAACTTGATGATTGTCGAAACTAATATCAACATGCTAAATTATAATATACTGTTTCATTATATAGAAAAATTATTGATATTTATTAATAAAAATAAAAACTTTATACCAAATATTCTGTATGCAAAACAAATTATTAGTTACTATATTATTTATATTAGATTTTAATAATAAGTTAATTTCTAAAACCCTTAAATTGATGATAAATAATTATTAATAATCAATTTAAACATTTATTAAAAGCTAATTAAAAAAAATTCATTTAAATTCTAGTATAATATTCATGAATACAATAATTAATAAAAATAGACACAAATTTTCCTTACAGTTAATAAAAAACATAATAATATATTTTTTTTCGTATAACATAAAAGTTGTTAAACAATTTTGTTTCTAAGTTTAATATTGAATATATAAATAAAATTTAAATATATTGTAATATATTAATTTAGAGGCATTACTAAAATATATTAATTTAAATATTTGAGTATTTAAAACAAAACTATTAAAATTGTCAATTAAGATAATTATACTTAAAAAAGCTGATAATTGTTAATTATTATTTTACATACTGAGAAACTAAATAAAAATAAACTAATAAATAAATACAATGTTAATATTTAATTAAAAAAACAAATTTAAATAACGTATAGATATATACTATCTATTATAATCTATTATATCATAAAAAAGTGTATATTTATAATATAAATTTAATATTTATATGCAATATATATATAATAAGTTAAATAATCGATAATACTTCTCATAATAATAATAATAATAATAATAATAATAATAGTATAAAAATAATCATTAAGAGAAATAAATAAACATATTTTTATTGAATGTTATATTATTATTATTATTATATATATATATATTAAAATAATGACAATTATAATGAAATAGTGTCAACTAAATAAAATAAAAATAACAAATTTTTAATATACAATAATATATTGTTATAATAATAATAATTCTTTATAAAAATATTATATATATATGACATTAATAATATGACATTAGATTATAAAAAATAGTAATTTTAAATACCAATTGTATTATATATTTATTTTTATTTATACTGTATTTACACTATAAATAATTGTTAGTAATAAAATATATAGACTAATATACAGTACTAATATATATATTATATTGAATTTATATACGTTTACCTTATATACTGTATTATATTAGTTATAAATTTATAGTTTATTTATTATATAAAAGTGTATATTTTATTTATATTTTTATATATTTGATTAATTATTATTATAGTACTTAATTTTTTCATTAATTATATGACATTTTAAATGTCAACCAAAAAAAACTTAGATATATATTGTATATGATGTTTATTTAAAAGTACAGTATATTAAATGTTAACTTTTTGTATATTATGCACAATAAACACAATACTATTTGATTAAATAATTATTAATAAGATATTATTATTATTATAACCTTTTTTTATTGTAGATAAATATTTTAAAGTTATAATTGTTTTTTTAAACAATATTAAAATCTATTGAGTTTAAATATACAAAAAAATAAGTTGAACTTTACTTAAGAAACTAATATAATAATATAATACCTGTATAATAATAATAATTATTATTATTTTATAAATTACATATACTGTATACATAAATCATTTTTATTATATTCTAAACATAAAATATAAATTATATTCATATACAATATATTCAATAATTTATTATGTTATTATTTAGCTAATCTATCGATCATTATAAATTTTTATCTCATTAATTATTGCTAAATTATTAAGACATTTTTATATTAGTTATTTTTTATGTTAAAAAAAATATTACGATTTTTATTGTGAATTCTATATGTTTGTATAAGTTTGTGTGTATATGTGTATGTATGTGTGTATGTATGTGTGTATGTGTGTATGTATGTGTGTATGTATGTATGTATGTATGTGTGTATGTATGTGTGTATGTGTGTGTGTATGTGTGTATGTATGTATGTATGTATGTATGTGTGTGTGTCAATGTATGTATTTGTGATGTATAGCTAGAAAATACATTTCTAGTATCCATAGAAACAAAAAAATTCAATGTTTTGTATATCGGATTCAGTGTATTTTGCGTATGTTTTTTGATATATTCAGTGACATTATATATATATATCTATATTTTAATATTAGATATTTATTTCTTTAGATAATTTTGAATCAATAATTAAACTTAAATTTATATAAGATTTTATAGTGATTTTCTACTAATTATTTTTCATAGTTAATATATATATATATATATATATTTTTACAAAAAACAGGGGTAAATATTTAGATATTTAATTATTTATTTACTTATCTAATTAATTAATAGATTCTACGATCTAATTCTGTTATTATTTATTTATTTTTTAAATATAACTATTTGTTTATTTGTTATATATATTAAATATAATAACTAACCTAGATAAATTAATAATTTAAATAAACAGTTATTATTATTATTATTATTATCTATCAATATATAAATATATAGTGAATCAACATATCAGTGAACACAACAATTAAAAAAAACTAAAAAATAATATAATAATCTATTTTAATGTCAAGTTTTTACTAAATGTTAAAAACATTATAAATAAATAAATATATATATATACTGTATATTTAATTAAATTAAAACATTCAAGCATAAAGATATATATATCTTAATTTGGCAAAAATGAACCAGGAAGATTCTATGAATAATAAAATTAACTTTGCTGAAGGTGAGATACTTTAATAATAAAAAAATTATTAAACTATTATTATATATTTATTTAATATTATAAATTTTTTGAAACTATTTGATAATAATAAATAATATTAAAAAACTATTTTAATAATATATAATTTTTTATAATCTAGTTTTTTAAATTAGTATTTATTAACTAAAATTATTTATTTTTTTAATAATTAGTTAGTAGTTCAATATTATAAAATAATATATGATAATAATATAAAAATTTGTTTAGTAAAATTGTAGTTATTTAATTTTAATTTATATCATAATAAATAATAGTATTATAAATTAGTAATTATTTCTATTTTAAATATACTGTACAAATATACTATATTAATATTTATAAAACTTTTTTCAAATAACTTTTATTTTTATTCATAAAATATGTTAATTGTTTTGTGCTTTATATATAAAACTATTAATTTGATTTTATTGAATTTATTTAAATGCATTTTGATATATATATATATATAGTTTATATAGTTGTAATTATCCTAATAATTAATAATATTTTAATTAGTACACTATACAATATAACATAAATTTTAAAAAATGATTTTAATGAAATGTAAATTTAAGTTAGTTAAAATGTCAATTTGCTTGTTTACAAAAAATTATTATTATTATTATTATCATTGTTATTATATTATTATTAAACAAAATATTTAAATTTTTATTGCATATACTGTAAAAAATATTATAAGCGATAAATGATATGTTAGCGTAATATTATTGATTATTTTATAATTTAGTATATAATTTTATATATGTATAAAATATTATTACTGATAATAATAATAATATCAATGATTATATCATATAAAAATGTATTGATATGAATTGAAACACTCCCATTAATTCCACACATAAAATAATAAATTATAATTTAAATTATTAATAAAATTTTATATAAGTAACAATTATTACTATTATTATTAGTATTTATTAATATGATTATAATGTAATGTATTTCAAAATATTTCTTTTATTAAATTATAGATTTTTAAAAAATAATAATATAATAATATTTAAATTTTAAAAATCTATATTATTATTAATAATATAATATATTATATCAATAAGTTGCACCTATCTGTGTTAGTGTCTATACATATATTGTATCTGTACATATATATATACTAAAAAATTACACATAAATCCTATATATTTATATATATACACTAATATTTATGATAAATTAATATAATTTATTTAAAAAATATATATATTTATATAGGCGTTATATGATACTATAATAATAATCTAAATTAAACTACTTACTATATTATTTGTATAGACTAATAAATAAATAAAAATTGATTAATTTAGTAATAAATATTTTCTCCCCCATATATATCCTGAATAATCTAAATATATCTAAAAAAATACCTGTTTATTGGTTTTTACTATTATTAAAACAAAACACTAAATCCCACTAAAAAAATTAAACCTCATGTGAAGTGAGAAGAGCGACAGTTACCGACGTTTATATAATGCAAAAACAAAATAGTCTAATCTATGCAGGTATACCTGTATATTATATATATTAATTATACATTATATTATTATATATATATGACATGATAGTATTTATAATATTATTTTTATCATAAATATTATTATCATAATTATTGTTGTTGTTGTTTCAAAAACACTAAAATAGACTGAAATGCACTAAAAAAAATTAACAAATAAAATGCTAATTACATATTTTTAAAACAAATAAAAAAATTATATACAATCAGATAATTTTGCTATTTTTTTATCTTTAATTTATTTTAAACAAAATTTTTTTTATTACATTTAATTTTTTCTATATATATAAATATATACTTATTTATCAATTTTTAAAAGTACATATTTTTTATTGAAATTAATTTATATCTATAAAAAAAATCTATGCAAACTATATAAACCATTATTATTATTATTATTATTACATAAAGGAAGCGAATCGACCGATAGTGGACAGGGAGTATGCGGTGCCATATTGACCCTGTTATCATTGGCAGTGGCAGCATGCACATTTCCGTTTTCGCTATTTTTTTGCATCAAAGTTGTCCAGGAGTATGAAAGGGCAGTCATATTTAGATTGGTTAGTATTAGTATATACTGTATATACATATATATATATAATATTTATTAATTTGATAATTATTTATATCTGTAGCTAAATAGTTGTAAAAATTATTTGGGTTTCATCAATTATTTTTGTTTATATTAATCAATATAAAAAAACAACTAATTATAATTTATTTTATTAGAAAAAAATATATTAAACTTAAATAATTAGAGATGATAATAAAATATTTAGGCTAATTATTTTTATTATTATTTTTTGAATTAATTAGCTTAATTGGTAATACTTAATAAAATTGATATATTAATTTTATGATGAATTTTTTTGTTTTTATTTACATAATTAAAGTTAGAAATTAGTAAAAATAGTCCATAAATTGAATTAAAAAATTATTTTCAATGTAATTAATTTTTTTTAAATATTTAACTGGTTTGTCCACTCCCCTCCCCCCCTTTAAAAAATTATATAGGGTCGTCTACTGCATGGTGGTGCCAAAGGGCCTGGTATATTCTTTATACTGCCCTGTATCGAGCACTATACAAAAGTCGACCTGAGAACCCTGACATTTGATGTACCGCCGCAGGAGGTCCTGACCAAAGATTCGGTAACCGTATCGGTCGATGCTGTTGTCTACTATCGTGTCCATAATGCTACCGTATCGGTGGCCAATGTCGAGAATGCCCATCACTCGACTCGTTTGCTGGCCCAGACTACTCTGAGAAATATGTTGGGAACTCATAATCTACATGAAATACTATCCGATCGGGAAAGCATATCAAACTCTATGCAGGTATTACAAGTAATATGAAACAACATTTTTTAATTAAATCAATCAATTAGATATATATATAGTTAGATATACAATATTATTATCAATAAATGGATTATAAGGTATTACCCAATTGGATGTGTCTCTCCTCCTCCCCTCCCCCATCATTTGGCTCCTATTTCCTATTTGGTTGTATACCTACTCTTTATTTTATATATTATAAAAATAGAAATAAATTTTATTACTATTTTTAAAAGTAGGATAGTGTGTGTGTTTATAAAAATAACCTACCTGGACAATACCAATAGTATACAATAGTATAAATATTTGTTTTATGAATCATTGTGTGTGTGTGTGTGTGTGTGTATGTATGTATGTATGTATGTATGTATGTATGTATGTATGTATGTATGTATGTATGTATGTATGTATGTATGTATGTATGTATGTATGTATGTATGTATGTATGTATGTATGTATGTATGTATGTATGTATGTATGTATGTATGTATGTATGTATGTATGTATGTATGTATGTATGTATGTATGTATGTATGTATGTATGTATGTATGTATGTATGTATGTATGTATGTATGTATGTATGTATGTGTTTTTTATATCTATGTGTGTATGTATGTTTGTTTTGTTGTCAATATTAATAGTAATATACATTATATCATTTATATAATAAATTATAGCTTACAGCTAATGTACAGTACATTAATACTAATGTTAATATAAATTTTATAGTAATTTATAAAGTTTATATTAGCAAAAAAACAATATTTTGTTATATTTATTTATTTAATTATTGATTAAATTATTAAATTATTTTAATTATCTATCATAGTTAATACAATATAGTAAATGTATATTTATATATATATATATTTTTGTGTGTTATTACAAATATAGACTGTCCTAGATGAATGTACCGGTGCCTGGGGTATCAAAGTGGAACGGGTAGAAATGTAAGTGTGTTTGTGTTTACTATACAATGTGTTTATTAACAAATAATATATTTTTTTAAATACAATTTTAATAAAAAATATAATTAATAAACAAAAATTTTAATTAATTTTTTCCACCCCCGAAATAAATGTAATAATAATAATAATAATAATAATAATAAACAGTAAAGATGTTCGCCTACCCGTGCAATTGCAACGGGCTATGGCTGCCGAAGCCGAAGCCGCCCGCGAAGCCAGAGCTAAGGTATGGTTGGGTTTTTGAAAATCTAATTTTGTTTGTGTATTAACTCTTAAAAAACTTTTTTTGTTTAAATTTTTTTCTTTCAGGTCATCGCCGCCGAAGGCGAGCAAAAGTCTGCCCGAGCTCTCAAAGAGGCGGCCGAAGTGATAGCCCAAAGTCCGGCCGCTCTTCAGCTCCGATATCTTCAAACATTGAACACAATATCGGCCGAAAAGAATTCAACCATAATATTCCCGCTTCCCATCGATTTTCTCAGTCATTTCATTAGAAAATAATTTATAGGTTTTATAGAGTATAGGTAACAGTTAGTTATTTTGATGGGACGGTTAGATTAAATTTGTTGGGACTCTGAAACACATACACACCACTACTACTTAATGTCTATCCGTTTTATCTCTGAACCACCTATTGTTTTACTTTACTCAGGTGTCTGTCTCTCACTATTATTATTATACATCACTACTACTCAACAAAAAAAAATGATAAATGATATCTCAAATTTCAATTATCTCTCACAAAATAATGTAGTTTTTTGTGTGTGTGCATAATTATACAGTATATATCATGTATTTATATATATTAAAAAATGTTTGTTTAATCAAAAATCTGATACTGAATTTCTAATTTTAAAAATAATTATTATTGGTTAATTGATTGGAAATTTATTATATATATATTATTATATTTATTATATATATTATATATATATATATAATTTAACTAATCAATTAATTATTTAATTATATTTATTTATTTTTTTGAAAGTTAGCTATAATAGCTAAAAAAATGTTTTTACAGTAATTCATAATATTGTTTGATATAATTTAAAATTTAAATCAATTTTTCTAACAAATCAAAAATATTTATTAATATATATAATAATTTAATTAAAACTATTATTTGATTTTGATTTCTAACATTCTGATCTACTATATWTATATATATATATATATATATATATACATATATGTATTGTATAATTGCTATTTGTTTTTTATTTAAATTTTGGTTTGCAATTGTTTGCCACCAAATTTGTATTCCTTAATAATTATATATATAATTGATTATTTTATTGATAACAATAATACTAATCAATTTTGCATTAAATTTTAATATATTAAGTATATACTAATATACTCTATATTAAAATAAGTATTAATAATAAAGGTATATTTGTATTTTTCAACAAACTATTATATTTCTATATATATATATATATAATTAATGATTATTATATTTGTTATTGTCCAATAAAAGTAACTTATATATTTATAAATTATCAATAATACAAAGTAACAATAATATATATATTGACTCTTGATCTCAATTTTATTTGATCTCATTAATTACTTTTTACAAAATTGACACTGATAAGTTATAATATTTTTTTAAAAAATAATTATGATTGTTAATTGTTATTATTTATTATTTAAATAAAATTGTATTGTATAAATTAAATAAATTTTTAACAAAATAATGATCACTTTATTATTATTATTATTTGTATATAAATGTTATTTTAAGTTAAAAATATATTGTTATGTAAATGTTATATCATAAATATAGTTATGTAAACAAAAAAAATTAAATATATATATATTACAGATTATGTTAAATCAGTTAATAATATAATTTTTTTGAAAATTAAATAAAAAAATCTATTACTATTATTTAAATGACTTATTAATTGAATAAATTATTTTTGTATATTATATTTTAGTTACATATTATATTAATAATAACTCAAATATTAAAAATTGACAATATAATTAAAAATATATATTAAACAAAATTGAATTATATAAAAAAATATTAACATTAAAATTGATAAAAAACACTATTTAATTATTGTTAAAAATAATTAAATTGTTTTTAAATTATTACTTTAATTAAAGTATTGTCAATATAATGTTATCCAAAATAGTTGCCTAATAATTGACTAATTTCTATATAATTATTTTTTAGATAATTACTAGTAATTACTTGTATAATAATATGTATACATATAAATAATCTTTTTTAATTAATTTATACAGTATTTTATTTACGGTAATATAAATACTGTAATTAAATATCTATAACAATTAATATTAAACAAATAAAAAAATATAATATAATCCATTATATAGACATTATTCAACTCAACAAATATCATCTACCGTTTCCAATCGCGCACCTGTTTTTCGGTTACCGATTTGACTGTCTCCATATCGGTAGACGTACGGTCCAGTGTTTGCCTAACACGGGCTAACCTATTGTAGGCCTGGCTTCTACCGTACGATGTATACGATGTGGTACTTAAGCCGCCAGTGGTAGGTATAGTAGGCAATGCCAGACTTAGAGCATCGATATCTGGCGAATAGGGCCGACTACTACTATCTGGTGACCAATAGTCGACCAGCGGCGGCGGCGGCGATGCTACGGACGACGATACCGGTGACAATAGTGTTCTGGTCAGATATGGGTGCGAAATACGGGGTATACGTGTCGGCATATGTATGCCCGATGATCGGTAACGAAACGAATCGGTTCGGGCAAACGTAACGTCCTCTTCGGTAAGTGACCGGACTTCGACTATCGATCCCGTGTGGGATGTTCGCCGTGACCTTTGACATAGAAAGAGAAAGAGAGAGAGAGAGAGAGAGAGAGAGAGAAAGAGAGATAGAGAGAGAGATTATTGAGTAATAATAATGATAACTATAAATAGTTAGATATTAGTCATTCATTGTTTGAATGATTTGTAAATGTATGTCAATTAGTAGCTCATACCTAATAAAGTCAAATGGTATATCATCCGATATGATAGATGGCCTTGGCCTCGATGTCGGCAGTTTTGGCACATATTCAACAACAGTTACTGTCGACAACACCTCAATAATGGTAATCCAAGTCTCCGATTCAAATATCGACTCGTATTGTGTCATACGACTTATGGATGTATATTCCTCAACGGTATTGCTTTCGACTATCAATGTCCGGAACTCGTCATCTGTTTCCACGAGTGTACGGAACCGTTGCCTAACATCCGGTGTTAGTCTCTGTCTATCAGTTTGTGGCGATAGACTGGGCGGTGGATTGTCCAGCGCTTCATATATGGCTGTAATCTTGGTTTCCTCATAACTGGTATAATCATCGCGAGTTGTCATTGTTGTCGTTGTGGTGGTAGTAGTCGTTGGCTGTGGCTGTTGTGGTTGTGACGGTGGCGACGACGGCGGTTGTGTTGGTTGAGGTCCAGTCAATTCCCTCAATGATTTGGTTATTTCCAGTTCCCAATCTTCTACCGATTGTTTCGATGTTTGCTTGTGATGTCTGGTCGATGTCGACTCGATCTGAGGTATGTCCGGCCGTTGCTGTTGTTTCGGCGGTAACAGCGATGGTAACGGTGGCGGCAGTGGTGGCTCCTGACGATCGTTGGCAGTAATGTGTTCAATGGTTTCGGTTTCCGAGATGTTCGTTATGAACGTATCATCTGTAGTGTGGATCAGGTATTTAGGTATCGGATATTTGACAAGTTTTCTGGTAGATGTGTCATCCGTTACTTCAGTTGTTTCGCTAACATCAACATATCGGTCATCGATGTCCTGTTGAGTATATGTTGGCCCCCGACTAGTCGGCTCCGGCATAACAATACGTTGTCGGGTAGTTGTGTCGTCAATCAGTTCAGTTGTCTGTCGATCAGTAGTCCTATAATAGTCGTCTGTTGTCTGTGCGGTAACTACTGGTTTCGGATAAGTTAATCGCCGATGAGTTGTCACATCTTCGGTAATATCGGTTACGTCTTCGGGATTGATAAACAAGTCGTCAGTTGTTTTCGATGTAATCTTCGGTTTAGTCGGCGTTATTGAGGTATATCTAGTAATGTCTTCGTTGATATCGGTTTCGTCTCCTTCAGTCAAATACAGATCATCAGTATTTTTTGTCGTAATCATCGGTGGTCTGGCGGCCAGTCTATCGTTTCGAACAACATTTTCGTCTACGTCGGTAATATATTGAGTGGTCAGATAATAGTCGTCAATATTTTTGACGCTAAGTTTTGGCGGCCGAACGTATGGCCGCTGTACGGGCAGATCTTCCAGTTCACTGTGCGACCACATATCGTTGTCGGGAATACTGCCGTAAATGGACGAAGCCATCGGTGTCGGCGGCTTTTCAAACAACTGTGTCGTAGTTCTCAGATGTCTGGTATTGTAGACATCCGTATCGGTCAGATGTTCGGTATCGTAAAAAGTCGACAACAAATCCAGTTTCGTAATATTTGGTTTGGCCATCATCGGTACCGGCAACGATGCAATCGACTCATCCCTGTCCACATCCATCGGATAGGGTTCGGGAATAAATGCCTGATTCTCGTAGCTATAGTGATCCCGTCGGATACTCGACGTATCACTGATAACACTGATTTCCTCTGACGAGGGATACTCTGAACTACTTGTGCTGACAGCTACCCGGGGTATGTGAACCGGTTCGATGGTCAGCTCAGTAGGCGGACTGCTAATGAATTTACGTTTCCGGACAACTTTGATGTTACGCCGTTTCAGGCAATAGTAGGCCATACCTATACCCAGCAACAGTAGAGTCAGAAACAGCAGTGCACTGATAATCAACAACAGTTCAACTTCGGATAGTTTGGCCGCTATGGGTACCGGCGGTGGCGGCGGTATTTCAAGTATCGGTGCCGATATACTGGGCGGCGGCGGTGCCAACGGTGGCGGATAGCGGCAAACAATTGTCTTAATTTCGTCCTCTTCGAGCTCCAGTGTCCGATGAAATCGCAATATTATATTATTGATGAACAGTCGCGGGGCCTCCTGTTTCGTACCGCACCCTTTCAACGGCAACCGCATCTCATAGTAACGGTTACCGTCACCGTAGAACTTGCACGGACTGGTCCGGTCGTAATCCGAATAACCGATACCGCGAAATGGTTCGGAAAAATTAATTTTGACAATCATTTCGCCCGATTCGCACGATAGATAGGCCCGACTACGGTTGGTCACAATTTCCGAATTCAATTGATCAGTGGCCGCAAGTTTGACCACATTCTGAGTAATCCGACGTTCAAGTTCTTCGGCTAACTGTTCCTCAGTTAGCTCAGGGCTAACATTCCCAGCACTTTGACTCAACACTACTTGTATTGATGTTAATAATTGTGTTAATAACAAAAGTGTCGTCAATATCACAATATTTCCATACATTGTGTCTATATTTATATTTAAATCATATATAGATTAATATTTTCTTATATTAATTAATTAATCATAAATATAATAGTGAAATATTTTTTATATATTTTTTCAATATATATTATATTAATATTATTATTATTTTTTAAATATTTTAAACTTTTATTAATAATTATTATTATTTAATCATTTTATGTGACTAAAGCAAAGTCGACTAAATAAATATTTATTTTTAATTTATTATTATTATTAAAAAAATAATAATTTTACTAACTAAAACTAAACATTTTACTAATAATATCAAATTTTTAAATATCAAATTTTTAAAGTAATATATTTTTTTCAATTGTGTTGATTATTATTATTATGAGTTTAAAAACTTATAACTGTTTATTAGTTGTTGTTTATTAGCAATCATTAAATGAAATAAAAATATTTTTTTAAAACTGAAAATTTCCAAATTTAAAAAATAATTAATAAAAAAATAAATAAATATAGAAATGAAGATTATATTATTATTATTATTATTATTATTATTATTATTATTATAATTACTATTATGAAAATTGAGGTTTATTTTGGACACACATATATAGATAGAGACGACACAAATAGCTAAATATGATGAAAATAAAATTAATTTATTATATTATATATGAGTGTATATATAAATTTATATATATATAAGTACACACTGTATATATATATATAATAATATTAATATATAAGTGTGACACACATATATCTGAGAAAGTTTTTTTTGAAACAATATAAAAATTTATTATAATATAAATAATAATAATTATTATTAATAATATAAAGAGTGAGAGTCTCTCCTGTTTGCAAATTAGTGTATAAAACAACTCTCATTTAGGGGATAGTTGTCTGTAATAATAATAATACTGTATTATGTCCTTAAACATGACGTATATGGTATGGGTTCAGCTATATGTTTAAGTCAAGTGTTTGTGTTGTTGTTATATAGCTTATGTAGGTATTGTTTAGGTAGGTGGTTTGGTATTGTAGGGTATGGTATGGACACACAACAGGTGTAAGCTGTAAACTTTCGTTAGTAGTTTTTTATTATTTATTTTTTACTTTACTTTATTTTTTGTATATACCATTATTGAGGTCGACATGTATAGTATCATATATATACAGTATATATAAGACATTGTAAATCAATGATTGTTTGGTTGCACAGGTATCTCACTATGCTGTTTGTCTGATTGAATGAATGAATGAATGACAAGAGAGAGAGAGAGAGAGAGAGAGAGAGAGAGAGAGAGAGAGAGAGAGAGAGAGAGAGAGAGAGAGAGAGAGAGAGAGAGAGAGAGAGAGAGGAACCGGTTTTTTGTCCTCATTTTTTTGCATAATTACTATTACACGCCAACAACAACATTACATTACATATACAATACCTGTAAAAATATATATAACAACAACTAACTAACTCAACATAGATTTTTCTGCCAAAATATCCAACATTTTTGCTAAAATAATTTATATATATATATACCTGTATTTTTAACATTGATTATATATTTGGTGTGTGTGAGTGTGTATGCAATTTCAATGATCCTTGATAAAAATTTTGAAATCCATATAAAATAAATTAATTAGTTTTTTAAGTGTGATTTTTATTGGGGAAAAAAATATAAGTTGGTGTATATATATATAGATATATTAATTTTTTTTTGTAAAGCTATTACTGTATTTGTATATATATTTATATAAATGCATATCAATAGGCTGTTGTTTGCCATATTAATTGTATGGTTGATATGTATTAAGCGTGTAGTCCGGGCCCGAGTCAAGCGCTGTTATGTTTGCCGATCCCGTGGACCGTTGGGTGATTGTATGTAACAAAAATTGTGTTTTTTAAATATTATTATTATTATTATAATTAAAATATTTATAATAAACAATATATTTATTGTTTGTTTTTTTATTTGTGATCTGATTTTTATTTTTATTTTTTTAGGTAAAGACCCGTTTGAGTACAACACGACAACACCAACTGTAGACCGAATGGCTGTCGAGACACAACCCTGTGCTAGTGGTATGTGAGCTCTGTATAGACATATATACTGTATATACAGTGAATACTGTATTTAATTGTTCAGAAAATTAATAAATTAATTAATTATACAATTAATAATAATAATGAATATATAAATAATTTATAAGGGATTGTAAGATATATAATAGTTGTATTTGTATTGTTAATTATGATAATATTTATAAATATAAATTTCATAACCTCTTTTATTGATATATTATACCATTGCCATTGAATTGAAGTTAGTTATTGTTATGATTATATATATAATTTATTTGGATAAAATTTAATTGTTAAAAAATTCATTATTATTTATTTATTATTTTATATTATAAATTAGTAATTTAGAAATTATAATACTTTATCATTTAGTTTTACACAAATAATATCAATATTATAATGTTTATAATAGTTAACTATATAATTATTGTTTTGTTTTTTTATTAATCAATTAATTAAAATAAAAAGGTTGGTGCGGAAAGTCAGTCGAGGGTCAATCGGATGGCCAGCACGTGTTGGCCACTGAACGTATGTGTCTTCAACGGCCACCCAGTGATCATAAGGAGCGGTGCGGAGACACCATCTATGGTCACACTAGAAAGTCATTCTTCATGTGCTTCTGTAGAGGAGATCTATGCAATCAATCGACCACTGGATTAGCATATCATTTGCCAACACAACTATCAATCATATTAATTGCCATTTTGTTTATATAAAAATTAATTTATAATATTAAATATATAAAAAAAAATTTTGTAAATTATGATTTACTTATTTATTTTTTTAGTATTTTTGTAAATTTATTTATTTATATATATTTTTTGGTAAATGTCAATAAATTTTAAGATATTTATTTTTTACTGTTTGTTTTAATTTGTTATAATAATTCTTTAATTTTTTTAAAAGTTTTATATTATTTATTAATATATCTGTATATAAATAATACAAACGAATATTTTCTTAATCACTGTTAAATGTTTATACAGTATTTTACATATTATTTTTTTTAAAAAAATAATTATTTAATTTAACATCTATTTAGTTAATATAGTTGTAAATTATATATAATTTATTTTTAAAACTAAAATTACATTTTAATAATGTTAGACAAGATTAAGATTTAATTTGTAATTATTTAAAAGTTATATTATTTAAATATACAATTAATAGATGGCGACTTGTTTGTAAATGATAAAATATTTTTTTTAAATAATTTGAACTGGTACAATTTTTCTAAACTTTTACTTATAAAATATTAATATTTAACAAGCTCAAATTTGCTAATTTTAAATCCAATTATTTAGATTTTATAAATATTTTTTAATATTGATTTTTTCAAAATATTTTTTTTAAAATAACATTTTTTTTATAAGTTTGTATCAATATATGTGTTTTGTATATATACTAAAATTATAAATAAAAATATTATTTATAAACTAACTTATTTTTTAATAAATGAATGAAATTTTATTATTTTTTTATTAATAAAAAATTTATTTTATAACCACAATGATTTTAATTATAATTATTAGATAAAAACAATTTGTTGTTTCAATGTAAATGATTATCTATAATTTAATATTAATATTTATTATATATATACTTGTATGTACAGCAATGTAATTAAATTGCAAATTGAATATAATTTTCATTTAATAAAACAAAAAAAAAACAAACAAATATTTATAATTTGTTTAATAATAAAAAACATTGTTTTCCTAACTATACTGTATATAATTAACATAATTACGTTTGTGTTTTAACTTATGTTTACATTGAGAAAAAAAATTAAAGTTATAATTCAATTACTTGATAAAATAAGTATAATATTATTAACTTTTAAAAAAATAAATTACTGTATATAATAAATATGTTTTAACAAAACAATAGATATGTTTCTATAAGATACTGTATATATAAAAATATAAATAAATATTTGTATATATATTATATTATATATATATAAAATTTATATTTAATTTTATATATATATACTGTATATATATAATACTATTTATATATCTTATATATAGGTATATACTGTATATTATATTTCATATTAAGCTCGTTTCAGTTTGTTATTACAATTATTTTTTTTGACTATACAATTGAGATAATAATAAAAAATAATAATAATAGTAAAAATAAATATAATAATATTTCATTTTTGTTTTGTTTGTTTTGTCTAATACATTGTGTTTATTAGTTTAATAAGATGTTATCAAATAATTAAATATAAAAAAACAACTAAATATAAACATTAATTTAATAATATCAAAATGACAATAGATTTTCATCGTATACATACATTGTTTTTTGTTTGTTTGTTACAATAGTATTAAATATAAATTAACATTAACTTATTGTATAATATTATTTAATATTGCATTTTGTTGTGTTTGTTTTACACATAGAAATGTAATTTTTTAAAAATAATAATTTATATAATGATTTAATTTTTATAAATAAAAACTTTGTTCAACATTTAAATCAATTATTTTTGGCAGTAATATGATGTACAGTATATAATATAATAAATAATTGATTTAAATTACCTGTATTTTATTTAATAATCATTTTACTATACAAACAAGTATGTATTGTATTATTATTAACTTATTGAAATTTTTTAAAAACTTTTTGTTGTCTATTATTATTAATTAAGTTACTTAAAATTTATAACTTTTATATTATTTTTTTTAAAAAAATTATTATATTAAATAAAAAATTATTAATCAAATAATAATACAAATACAGTAAACACATGAATTTACAACAACAAAAAAATATTTATTATTTGTATATTGAGTCAAGTATTTCTATTAATTAAGCTTTTGTTAGATTAAAGTTTTTTTTAAAAAAAATCTATAATTTATATGTAAACTAATCACAGTTATTTCGTATACTAAAGTTATTGCTTAAATATTTGCAGTTTATTTAAAAATTAATTAATATAATAAAAACTATTGTTTATTTATTTATTATTTTTTTAATAACTAACATAACAAATGTACAATAATTGTACAATATTGTTATTATTTTAATTATATTTTTTAAAAAGAGGTAATTGCTATACATACTGTACTATTGTAATAATTAATATATTATAATATTACCATGGTATAATTATTGTTATATTATTATTATTATTATAACTATTACCCGTCAAATATATCATTAATGAAATTTAAATAACAAAATAGAAAATTTATTATATTTGATCGCTGATCATTGTATACTATTGTTATTATAATTGTATATTAATTAATTAAGCTAGATAATTTATATTCTAATTTATAATAATAATAAAACCGTAGTAGTTTTGAAATTATTATATTGTACTGTAGTGTTTTTAATTTAAGCTATTGCTGTATATATACCCTAATATTGTATTTTATATTTTTTGTGTGAATATTTATATTTAATATATAACCTTGTTTATATAGTATATTTTTAAAAAAATGTCAAAAATTTCAATTTGCAAAATGTTTTGCTAAATAATTTATAATAGTTGCCTAATAATAATAAAAATGTTGTATCAATAAATAATGAGTATTGTAATATAAAGTATTATTATTATTATTATTATCATAAGTAATGATAACTGATCTTAAATAATAATACTAATAATAAAAACCTTAAATTAAATAATTACAATTTGCTATGTAATTATAACAACAAGTTTTTTTCATTTGAGATAATACAACTACAAAATTAAATAATTATTAAAATAAAAATTACCCAAATTTACTAATTAATTATTAATTTTTTTTTTGATGAAATATTATGATGAAAATGAAACCATAAAATATTGATTTTATTTGTTTGTTTGTCAATTATTTTGGCGATGAAATACTGTCCCGATTTGATGGTACCACCACCGCTGACCATTGACTATGATTGTGATTATGATTATTATTATTATTATGATTGACACCAACAACATTGTGGTTAACAAAATGATTGGCAGCTGATATAGGATCGACAATCGGATGATCACCGCCGGCTAAACCGTGTCTTAACATTAGGTGTGATCTGGTAGTCATCTCATCATCCGTTGATGACATATCTCTGTCATTGATATCGTTGTTGTTGTTGTTGTGTTTTGTTGTCTCACTTTTACAATGATTATGATGCTGATGATGATGATTGCCAGCATCTGTATATTATTTTAGATAATAACCATCAAAATAAATATAAATATTTATATAATTAATTATATAACTGCTTTTAATTCAATTTTTTGGTTTTTGTTTTTTAAAAATAAGTTGCAATTTGTGTGATTAAAATGTGTGATTTGTCATTAATTTTTTTCTATGTGCTCTCTCTCTCTCTCTCTCTCTCTCTCTCTCTCTCTATCTATCTATCTATCTATCTATCTATCTATCTCTCTATCTCTCTCTCTCTCTCTCTCTCTCTCTATCTATCTATCTATCTATCTATCTATCTATCTATCTATCTATCTATCTATCTATCTATCTATCTATCTATCTATCTATCTATCTATCTATCTATCTATCTATCTATCTATCTATCTATCTATCTTACCGATAAATCTAAAATTGTAAAACTATTTAAATTAATAAATAAAATAAATAATATTAAATTTTAAAACTATTTTTTCTAATGGCAATTAGCAATATTTTGTTTCCAATTAAATTAGTAAACAAATATATACCTGTATATAATCTTATATATATGATATATATATAAACTAATAAATAATATATATGTTTTTCTGTGAAACATTATTTATTATGTCATTTATTAAAAAACTATATAATTATTTAAAAAGTTATATTCTTATAATAATAATAATAATAATTTTTATTATTATAGTAATAAAAATAGTATTTCTCACTTAATTTCGATGATGATTGAGGTATTGAATCGTTGTTTAAATGTTTATTATTAGTATTATTATTATTATTATTTAGATTATTATGATTATGTGAACTGATTTGTGAGCTATTATTTTGTTTAGGCTTTCGTTTGCGTGTTTGTATGCCTTCCTTACGCATAGCAAGCGGACGGTTCACCTGAATGTCAAAAAATATAAAATTCAACCAAAAAAAAGTCAGTAAATTGTTTCAGCAATTTTTTATTATATATATATATATAAACACAAATAGTCTATATATGTGTTTAGCTATACTAATGAAAAGCAAAGACAATGTGTCGACACAATGTAGGTATAGTACAGTAAACTTTAGTTATATTATAATATAGTAGTAATAGTAATAATAATAATAATAATAATAGTAGTAATATCAATGACAAAAACGTAAACGAAGTAATAAATATCTTTTTTGTGTATTTATTTTAAAAGCTAAAAGAAAATAGTGATGTAATGATAGATAAGGTATAGGTATAGGTATAGTCTAGTAAGGGAATGGTGTGTATATGTTGTTTACGTTATGGAGCTTATAGTATAGGCCACAGGCGTTACAGACAGGTTCGCCCTCATTATTCCTGCGCCACAGTGTTGTCGTTGTTGTGCCACAGTTTGAACAGCACAGACCTAATCGACGACTGGCTGCCTATTATTTATTTTTATTCAATTGAAAAGACAAATTGTATTAGCAATTAATAAATTTTAAGTAATAGTAATAATAATTATATTAGATTTTATAATCAGTATCGATAGATATTTTTGTTATATTGCATATACAGTATAAAGTGTTAATTGAATTTTATAATAAAAACTATGCTATAAAATTTATTCTGTTTATTTCAGTATATAGTTTTTTAAATATATATATATTATATATATGTTTTATATATATGTTATTTTGTATTTCAATATTTATATATGAAAGTATACATTAATTTCTCATTATACATGACTATATATATATTTATATATTTGATATGAATCTTCAATTATATATATAATATACTATATAACTACATAGTTGAGTAATGTTTGATATACTGATATATAAATGAAAAAATATTTCAAATATTTATATCAAACATTCATATTCACTATTTTTTACAATATAATTGAAAATTTTTCAATATTTTTATTTATCTATTTTTTATTTATCTATAATTGTATCTGTATTACTTCTAAGAGATTATTATTTTAAAATTTATATTGAAATATTAGATATTTCAAAAATTATTGTCAATAATAGAAATATTAAAATAATAATAATTATTATTATTATCAAAATTGATTGATATATATATATAAACGATTGGCTACTGACTAGTCTTCTCTGAGGTTTGATGAGAGGCCTACGCGCGCCGTTCATCTTATGATACAATCCGCAAGCATTGCACAGGTAGTGTCCGGTGCCATCCCTGCGCCACAACGGTGTCGATATAGCGCCACAGTTGACACACTCGCGGCCTTCGCTAAAGTGAGCGGCATATGAGGGCGGAGCCATTGACGATGGCGGATGCGGCGACAGGCCGTGACTGCCAACACCAACAACACCACCACCACCGGTGACAACCATCGATGATGGAGTCGAGTCTATATTGGTTTTAACAGCAAATAAATGTCATATTTTTGTTGTTGTTGGGTTCTGGGTATGACTGTCCATCAATACATTGACTGTATTATTATATAGTGTGTGTGTCATTGCATTGCGTGACTTAATCGCATTAATTGCAAATGCATTTGAACTAAAAAATAATTTTTTCATTTGACTCAACCAAAAAAAAATTTATATATATATATATATATAAATTATTAAATTGCTATACATTTATACAATTTGACAGTATTTCCATAGAGACACTCCAACACTGACACTGTCAGCTCAGTTATTAGCAAAATAAAAAAAACAGACAGACATACACACAAACTATATATATATATATAGTAATTAAACGTCAAATGAATAATAATAAAAAATTAGTTTTTATTTAGTATTAAGTAGTGATAGAAGTTTACACAACAAACCTGATCTACGGAAAGCTGATTGACTGGCAGTAAGTCCGGCCTGAAAGCCGGCAGTGGCCGCGTCCAGGCGTTGCAGTCCGGCTGCGGCAACAGCGGCAGCACTGCCAGCCCAGGCACAGACAGCTTCATACGAGTAGGGATGAAGACCATTGATGGCCGCATTCCTGAAGTAGGCAGTAGTATCAGATCCGCTGCTGTTGCGACCGCCACAGGTCGGTGCCATACTTGTGGTGACGATCCCTCCGCCACCGCCAGTTGAACCGCCGCCACATAATGGGGACGACGCCGACGAGCCGGCATTGACTGACACAACGGCACCGACACCTGTTACTGGCGACTGCATCGGTTGTATAGATAGATATGTGTGTGTATTAGTAATGTAGTAAAGATTGTAATATAAGATAACTAAGCATTTGGAAAGTTTTATTGATATATACAGTCAGTCATACAGTATATAGTCTCAGTTCAGGTATTATTATTAGTAGTACAGTAGTAGTACTGATAGTAAAAGCATACCATCACTCGTTAATATCATAATATCAGTAATATGTGTTTATAATAAAAATAATAATAAATATTTGTCTAATTAATGATAATTAATGATCAAATCTATATCAATAATCTTGTTTATATAATAATTATTTTCGATATTATATATCAGTAAAATTATCAAATATTATATAATAATAATATAATATGATATAATATAATGAATTTTAGTACCCAGGTTTATCTTATATAAAATTTATATAAAAATATATCACATAATAATAACACCTAATACAGTGTCAGTGTTAGTAGACTATCAAATAATATTGTTAACAATAATAGATATACTAAATAAATCAAATTTAAATTATAATAATGTATTTAAAACAAACATTAAAATTATAGGAAAATGTAACTCATATTTGTTAAAATTACAGTAAAAATTTATTATTATTATTATATGTTAACTATAAAAATGTTTACTTGTTATTTATTGTATACGGTAATAAATATAAATTTTATATATACCAATTAAATAGCATATTAACAATATGTATTGTATATAAAATATTTCAATTCTACATTTTAGTTTAAAAAAAATTATTTTTTAACTTTATTTATTTATTATTATTATCTCTAGCCAATATTACCTAATAAAATTTTCCAGTAAATTTGTTATTAGAAAAAATATGCCATTTATTTAACACCTAATAGATTCATATTATTATTTATTTTTTTTTGAAATTATTTGAGATTATAGGACTTTTTTTTTGAATGCTTATACATTACAATATACAGATCGTATGTATTGCAAAATTGCAACAACAAAAAATAAAAAGCTTTTCTCATACCATAGATTTTCAATTGACAGTGTATTTTAATATATATATAGGGTGTATATATATATTAAACAGGTATATATATACAGACAGGTATATATATATATATAGAGTGAGAGAGAGAGAGAGAGAGAGAGAGAGAGGTTTTAGTAAATAGCTTTTAAGTCGAGTCACACGAGAGTTATGACAGGCATGAGAGGCAACTGTAATGAGTCTCTGAGTCTAATTGTTTGAGTGATAAAGATATAGATTTGAGACAAAACACATTAAATGACATAAAAAGTTGCATTTAGAGAGAGAGAGAGAGAGAGAGAGAGAGAGAGAGAGAGAGAGGCGGTGAGAGAGATAATTACCTGAAATGGAAAACGTGATGAAAATGGAGATGGAGTTTGATTTGATGCTAATGTATGACTGGTATCGTTAGCTGTCTGGCCTATCGGTGCCACTGTCCATGAAGGCGATGACCGAACCGAGCCGTTCTGGTGATCACTACATGAGCCATCAATTAGCGACGAGGCACCACCGCCGCCGCCATACTGGCCATGCATTACTGCCCCTCCCTGTCCTCTATAGATAGACTGCATATACGGCGTGTCCTGGTTTGCCATACAGTACTGCCCGGACATCAGATTTTGTAACATTACTACTACAGTATATATAGAGAGATATGAATAATAATTTTCTTTATTTTCTATAGTATTTAATCATAAATATTGATAATAAAAGTGTAATTATAAAATAATTATTTAAGTTATTAAAAGCATATATTTAGATATATTAATATATAAATTTATATTATTTAATAATTTGCATTAATATTGAATTAAAAAATAAATATAATTTTATTTAATAATTTAATAATATCAATAATTTTGTTACCCAAATATTAAATTAATTCAATAATTCAATTTTTTATTCACATTTTTATGTTTTAGTTATTATAAATCATATTCATATACAGTTTAACATTTTATTAATAATTAAGTTTATAATTTTATTTAATAATATCAAACTTAATTATTAATAAAGTGTTAAAATGTATATAAATATGATTTATAATAACTAAAATTTAAAAAAATCTGAATAAAAATTGAATTATTGAATTTATTTAATATTTGGGTAACAAAATAGTTTATTGTATTATAACTTATATTTCTATAATTATGTAAAACATGTTGTGGTTATATATAATAATAATCTTGTAATTTAATATATTTAGTAATTATATGTTTAGTAATTCTGTAATATTATAATTTGAGTTTAATTTAAATAGCATTAAAACAAAATAATAATAAAATTGAATAAACAAAATACTGTAAATTAAACATTAGTTAGTATAGTTTAAAACAACTGTAATACTAGTTTTTAATTAAACATTACATTTGTTTATATGTTATAATTAAGTTATTTGTTAGTTTTTATTATAAATTTAACAAAAGTTTTTCAATTGAGATTAATTATTATAATAACATTTAAATATTAGTTGTATAGTATAGTTTAAATACTAGACTAATACATTATATGATGCTAATACTATAATATCATATTAACTAACCTATGTCAATTTGTTAAGAATATATCAATAAATCTTTATTATATGTTTAAAAAATGTCAAATCATTTTTATCAATAATTGTATTGACACATAAATGATTAAATAACTAAAAAAATGTTTGTTTTTCATATACATAATTTGCTAGATATTGTTTGTTGAATAAATTATTTATTAAATCTTATTTTTTTGTCTACAATTATATCATATATTAATATAATTTAATTAAAATTGAGGACAACATTTCTCTCTCCCCTCCCCTCCTCTAAAAAAACCTAAACCCAAAAATTTCTTCCTCTAAGATAAACATATTGTGTTTCAAGAGGTCAGACCCTAATCGTTAAGAGAGAGAAATAAAAATTATGTCTAAACAGACAAACCATTAATAAATCAGAATATTTATTGATAAATAAAATTTTTATAAACACTAACATTTTTTAAAAAAAACTATAGTTTTCAAATACTTGTACCTATATCTAAATAGTATATATATATATATATATACAGTTTCATATTTAATATATTTATTCTAGTTGTTCAAGTTTTTATAGATTTATTATCTTTATTTTTATAGTTTGTGTGTGTGCAAATACAATTAATTTATTAATTGTAATTTAAGTAAAAATAATAATTTGAATATTTGTTTTTATTTATTTAATATGAATAAAGATTAATAAAGTAATTGTTATAATTTTTGATATATATATATTTGAATGAACAATTTAAATTTAAATTAGAATTATTATATGTTATCTAATTATTTATTTGAAAACATTAATTTGTTTCTATTATATAATAGTCATTAATCAAATAAACTTTAAATGTTTGTAATGCAATGTTAAATTATTAAATAATCTAATTTGTTAATTTTAATACATTAAAAGTTTAAATGCAATCAAATTGATTGTGTGTAAGTATTTTATTAATAACTATAAGGTATCAGAGAGTTATCATTAAATTATATATTTAAAAAAATAATTATTCCATAACATTATGATAAATATGAAATAATTATGTAATTTTTACAAATGAGTTTAGAGAGCTGTATATGCGATAAAATTGTTGTTTTTTTTGAAAAATATTATCAATAATTTATTTTGAAAAATTAATATAAAATCATTTGTTTACATACCATGTGAATGTTAAAACTTTTCACTGAAATCAAAATGTTTTTATTTTGAAAAAAATATAATTTTATATTAGATATCCAGTTAAAAGATAATACCCATTGAACACACACTGCACAGCACAGACACACACACACTATTTTAATCCATAGGCTGTATATATAATATCATAGGTATATAATACTAGTCACACACACCTATTATTACTATAGGTTATTATATTGCATACAACAAGAGTACAGTAGTAGTAATATTAGTAGTGAATTGCAAAACACGCTTCTCATATACTGTATATCTCTATATGACTGACTGTCAGTGCCTTTTTGGTCTCACTTTTCATTTACAAATATATGTATATATATAAAAAAAAGGCCTGACTTTTGTGTGTATGTGTATTGAAGTTTTTAAGGTACTGACTGACTGACTGTCGTTATTACAGGTATATCGTTATAATGCATTCAACCATACCTGGCGTTCAAACACATAATATTGTCGGTTGAAACACATATACTGTGAATGGGAAAGGGAGGAGCTCTATACATATAATGGGGTTTTACGTCAATAAAAATTATAATTTTTCTAAATATTAGATATTATATTTAAAATACTCTATACATAACATTGATATATAATATATAGTTGAAAATTTATATATTAGATAATCAACTATACAATTATTTATATAAAAATATATTATATCATATTATTATATTTTGAAACAATGATAGATATGTACCGTATATTACATATATATATCATGTTTTTTTAAAAAATAAAACAAATATTATACAAAATATAACATCAATTTTTAAAATATAAGCTTGTTTATTTATTTATTGTTTAATAATGAGTTAATCATAAAATCATTTAGTAAATTAATAAAATTTTCAATATATTTAAAATAAAAAAGACCCATTGTCTATAATAGATTTAACTAAATTTAATAACACATATTATATATATATGATATTTGTATTTAAATTGTTTTTTATATTAGTGTCATGTATATTCTGTATATATATATCATAACACATATTATTAATAATATAATATAAATTTATACTTTGGCTTAATTATCAAACATTTGATAAAAATGTAATACAAAATCTTAATTTTTTTGGTAACTTAAAATATATACAATATTTTTTGATTTAAAAATAGTCTTTAAAATAAATTTATATAATAAAAAAACATTATTTATATAAAATTGTTTTTCAATTATGATATACTGTATGTAATAAACATATCTAAAAAAAAATATTATAATTGATATATCATAATTGTTTTTTTAATCAATCGATTATATTTCAATTTATATCATAATTGATTTCAATTGTAATTGATATTTTAAAAAAATATATATTACTTATGGCAATAGCATGCATTAAATATTTGAATCAAACATATTTTTCCTATTTATATAAAAAAATAGTTTTAAAGAAACCAAATTAGTAATAATAGTAGTTTTAAAAAACTAATAAAAATAATCAATAATTAACCACCAAAAAAATATGGCAAAAATTAATTATATTGATGGCAATATTAGTGTATTATAAAATTTCTGGAAAAAATTAAATTCATAATTATTTTTTATATGTATATATTTAACTTATTATCATTTATATATGTATATATATATTGTTGGTATATCACTGGTATTTATTTTTTATGGCAATTAATTGGCATTATTTGCGGCACTGTTATGGTGTTGTTGTTGTTGGTGTTGGAGGTGGTTGTGGTGATCGTTATTTTGGCTATCATTTGCTGTCATATGGTGGTGGTGTCCATTGTTGGCAATAGCGGACGTATGTACCAACAGTTTGCTAACATTGGGCTCATGTATAACACTGGTATGAGTTAGTCCGCCGTGCAATACCTGTGCAATAGTACTGTTATTGTTGTTGCCATGATGTCCGGCCAGAGTAGCAGTTGCGTGGCTCAAGTTGATAGTATTGGCACCGGTACTACTATTGATAAACGGACTGTTAGTACTGTACTGGAAGCCGTCTAACGGGACAAATCCGTGTAGATGTCTGGTCAGTGCGGCACTGGACGGAGTAATTGGCGACGATATCGGCCTCGACGACGGCGACGAGTCGTGTGCAGCGGTGGTGCCGCTCAGGTCGCTATCGCTGCGCTGCAGTGTTGACACCGTTGCCGATGATGATGACTGGCCCGAGTATAACATGGCTCCGGTAGATCCTGTCAGCTGAGCCTTCTCTATGATTGTTGTAGTTGTTGTTTGTAATTGATTAGTGAAAATCGTAAATAAGAATAAAAATTATTATTATTAACAATATTTTGGTTATATATTAATATGATTTTGTATTTCAATATATTTTTAGTTTTTTTTGTCTAACAATTCATTTTACTTAACATTTTTACACTAATACTGTAATAAAAATAAAAAAAAATAATAATAATAATTGTTATTAAATTTATAATACTGCAATCAAAAATACGTAAATAATAATAAAGTTTTACTATTAAATATTTGTTATTTCTATTATCATTGATTGACATATGTAACTAGAAATGATTGTAAACCTAATCATACATGTAATATAGTATACTATATATATACAGTATATATATATAAATTTATATTAATTTTACAAACATTACTATTTTAGATAATTATGGACTGACTGACCTAATCTTTATATACTGTATACGTGTATATAGATATAGATAATTAAAGATTTCATTTTTTTCAATATTATATCATTATATTTATATATTTATTATATTATCACAATCAGGCAAACTATCGTAAGATAATTGTGATGATAATATAGTATTATAATATACCACTGTTTATATCAGTGATTAAAGTGCCAGAAAAAAACATAATTACAAATTCTTTATTATTAGTTATGATAAATACAAACATACACACATATAAAGTATATATACAGCACACATAAACATACATACATACATACACATAGACATACATACACACCACATGTATCAGATACACAACACATAGTGATAATAGTATCGATAAATAACTGTTAAACACCGGTATCTATTAGATAATATATATATCATACTATATATATATATAGTGATGTCAATAAAGATAACTGGGCTTATAATATATGTATATATATATATATATAAGATATGCTTATATTTTTGTATGTGTGTGTGTGTTAATGATAAAAACTTGCATTGATATGATAATATAATGTTGTTTTTTAATTATGAAAAAATAAAAACAACAACAATAATAATAATAATATGTAATACTTTATAATATCTATATATAGTATATATACAGTATCTTTATTGTATTTATCAGAATATTTGTAGTTTTAAATCAGATAATAACAACAACAACAAAATAAATATACATATATAATGAATATATCATATGATATCTATGATAAATGTAAGTTTATATACGTTTTGACAAACAAGTGATAAAATAATGAATAATAAATGTCAAGATTTGTGATGAAATGATTAATGATATAATATTAAATGACTATTACTATTATGTTGTTGTTGTTGTTGTTGGTGTTGATGCTGTTGTTGTTGTTGGTGTTGTGGTTTTTGTATGGACAGTGCGGACGAAGGAGACTCCTGCGGTGTCGCCGCCTTTGGCTTACGTTTACGCGTTTGAATGCCTTCTTTCTTCATCGCCAACGGTCTGTTTACCTGCCGGTGCCATACAATGATATTGTATATATATATATATGAGAGAGAGAGAGAGGAGTAAATTATAAAATCATTTTTTTGCAAAAATCAAAATATAAAAGCAATGCAAATGCAGTAATAATAATAATAATAATAATAATATGCACTTTTCATAGATCAGACATCATTAGTTGGGATCATTGATGATGAGACAGATTTATTAGCTATATATTTATAAATAGTGAGAGAGAGGGAGAGAGAGAGAGAGATTGCAAAATAAAACATTAAAATAACTTTTGATGTGAACCTATACCTGTATATACAGCATATGTTAGTAATATATTTATATATATAAAGAAATACCGCTGAACACAGTAATTCGTTGATACATTAATTTGTTGATCATAGCACCTTGATAACATAGTTTTATATACTAGATACTATATATATATATACTGAATATACATTATAACTTTTTTTGCCAAACATTAACTAAAAGAGAGAGAGAGAGAGAGAGAGAGAGAGAGAAACCAGAATTTTAATTGATATTTGTCTCTAAAAAAATAAATGTCAATTTTGTAGGCAACCATTTATTTTGGAAATAAAATTTTTTAAAAATCACATTACAAATGATGACTACCAATGAATATATATATATATTTGCATTTAATGTGAAAAATATTCATAATCTGTTTTTTTTCGCAGCCATATATTCAATACTGGAATATAAAAGTAATGTATAAACAAAAATATTATATACTGTCTACACTGTAGTACTTTTATATTAATGTTAAACATTAAAAAAAAATTGTTTCTCATTTATTTTAATTGATTTGACTAAAATTAATTGAGAGTCAATATTATTAATTAATTATATTTTTCAAAATTATAATATTCAATATTTGTCTATATAATTTTATATGATTAATAGTATTGTTATATAGATAGAAAAAATGCTAAAATTATTTTAAAATTATATTAATGAATGATTTTATGGGTATATATAGTAAAAGATTTTATCATTTATAAATTGATTGTCAAAATTGTTAGTCCCACACAAATATTTGTTTATTTTAATTTAATTTAAATGTCAAAAATTATATTCATATAAATAAATATATTTTATATATAAACAAAAATTATTATTTTATATAAATATTTTATAAACAGTGATTAGTTATCGCTATTAAAAACAATTGATAAATTAGTACCTAATTATATATTTATATAAATAATTTATATTGCGGTATCAATAATAATCCAATACATATAGATAACTTAAAAATTTAATCTAATATATATATATATATATATATTTCTAATTGATACTATCTAACATTTATACGGTACTATTGATATATTTATCTTAAAAAACAACAACAAATAGAATATAATATAATTTATTTATATTTTACTGTATATTTTACATGTAATGATTAGATTTATTGTTATTATACATGTATATATATATATGTGTGTGTGTGTGTATTTGTGTCTATTGTTGGTCATACCTAAATATAAGTCAACACTAGACACACATATAGTGATTGTTTTTATTGATAATTATTGTAAATSTCTCTCTCTCTCTCTCTCTCTCTCTCTCTCTCTCTCTCTCTCTCTCTCTCTCTCTCTATCTATCTATCTATCTATCTATCTATCTCTCGTGAAGTTCACATAAATGAAAGATAAGTATCTATAATATTATTATTGAAAAGCCAATACACTGTCGTCACAAACTAAACACTATAATATATATATATATATATACATTGTATACTGTATTATATTATACAGTATATACATATTAAAAGTGAGTTATATACTGTATAAATATATATTCTCAATATAATTTATATGTCGTGTTTGTCTCATAGAGTAAATGTTTTAAAAAATAGTTTTTAAAAGACACGACATATAGTTTTTTTTGCAAAATATACAGTATATAAATATATATATATATATAGTATACATGATGTGATATGTGATGACAGTATTTGGTTAGTCTCTCTCTCTCTCTCTCTCTCTCTCTCTCTCTCTCTCTCTCTCTCTCTCTCTCTCTCTCTCTCTCTCTCTCTCTCTCTCTCTCTCTCTCTCTCTCTCTCTCTCTCTCTCTCTCTCTCTCTCTCTCTCATATGGAGCCTAGAGTTTCCAAATAATTTTTTTAATTCCTGTATTTCACTTCTATACATAATAATTTTGACATTTTATTTATAATATTAATTTTATAATGTCATAAAATATCCTAATATTTCAATATATCCTATGTATAATAATTTATAAATGTATATCATGTATAAATTCTATGTATAAAATTGTTTTTTTAAATAACCAGTATAGTGGTGAGTCAGTCTAATAGTCAATTTATATTTTGGTATATATTTATATTTTTGTTAAATGCATTAAAATTTGAGTTAAAATCAACTACTATTTGATATTGTATTATTGAGTTGAGATGCAATGAAATTGAATAGTATTGGATAAAATTTGTTTCCAAAAAATTTAGATTTGGATAACATCTATAATAGTTTTAGTATCAGAATAACTATTGAAAAAATATATAAATATTTTTTACCCTTAATTTAAAATACAGTATAACATTATATATATATATGTATGTTATAAGAAAAATAGTTTGTGTGCTAATACTAAATATTAATTAATGTATATGTCTATTATCAAGATATATACAGTATATATAAATATATATATATAATAGGACTGGATTAAACCTATTTAATATTCATAATACACTTTATATTATACTGTATATACTGTCTGTAGTATATCTAAGTTACTAAAAGAGGAAAAACATTATATATATAAGTTATTATAGAAAATTAATATAAAGCATAATATAACATTACTCAATAGATTTGCCACTTACTGTATATATATATATATATATAAACTTTATGTATATACATGTATATCTATTTATTGTGTACTTACGCCATGCAATTTGAAGTATAGTCCGCACGCATTGCAAACAGGTTCGCCCTGATTGTTGCGCCGCCATAGGGTAGTGGTACTGGTGTGACAATTAGAACAGGTAAGTCCGGCCCTCCTATTATTTGGCATCTTTTTGTGTGGACGGATAGGCGGCCGATGCATACCATTCATCTTTGAATACAATCCGCAAGCATTGCACAGGTAGTGTCCGGTGCCATCCCTGCGCCACAACGGTGTCGATATAGCGCCACAGTTGACACATTCACGCGCCTCACCAGCAAAATAATCTGAACCTATATTAATAATAATATTTGATATACATTTAAAATATTTTATATTAATAAATATATGATATAAATTAGATATGTGTATATATGATATAATAAGCTATATCAATGTTGTAAAATAATATTTCTGTATATAATATTATAAATACATTACAGTATAATAAGTATTTTTTAAGTAATTTTATATCATACATATAGATTGCATAATAATTACAACAATAATAATAAGTTAATAAAATATTATTATCATTATCTATAACTGAATACATAATTTTAACGTCAAAATCTATTATCTTATAATATATTGATACAATAAAAGATTAGATTAATGTCAAACAAAAATTATATTTTTACTGTATATAATTTTATTAATGACCTAATTTATATTTTGATTGGATATTTTAATTTTCAAATATGTTCATTTATATATACTGTATATATATATATATATATATATATATATATATATATATATGTCTATTGTGATTATAACAAAAATAAAATTTATAAATAATTCAAATGGGAAATATTTTTTTTAAAAAAATTATATGATTAGTTAGTTTAATGTACTAAATGTTAAATGTAATAAAAATATATAATAAATTTAATATTAATAATGATTACTACTGTATATAATAAAGTAACTAAAGTATTAATTAATATCTAATACTGCAACAACTTAACACAACATATTGTAATATTTTTAATCAAATTAACAATATCTAAATTTGTATATTTTATCTATAATTGTTAATAAAACTATTTTTTTAGATAAAACCAACAAATTAATACCCAAAGCCGATAGTTGCATTGCACTGGGATTACGATCGGGACTGAGACGCTGCCGATGATCGGCAACAGTGACCGCATAATTGCCAGCAGAGTTGTGACCGTCATATAAGGCAGGCGATGGCCAATCAGTTCTCAGATAGTGTGCGCCAGCAGTAGAGCCGCCAAATGGATTGGTATTGAATCCATTAACCACTGAGCCCGGGGTCGTTGTATTAGAGCCGCCGCCGCCGCCGCCGCCGGCACCGGTGCGCGAGCCAAGTGTCCCCAGATCTGAGTGACCGGCACTGGTATTGGCGTCACTTACGGCAGCCAATTGTTGTAAAGAGGACGGAGAGAGTGTACCTAATTATTTAGAAATAATACAAAAAAAATATTATTATTATATTAATTTTCTATTATTTATTTTCAATAAACTTTTTTAAAAAGTTTGTTATCTGAAATGTGAAAACTGTGTGTCTGTCTGTCTATCTATCTATCTATCTGTCTGTCTGTCTGTTTTTCTGTTAAATCAATATTTTTGCTAATTTAAAAATTCTGACTATAGAATCGGCCAGAATATCAAAATAAAATATTTTATAGTGAATAAGTATTATCAATTATTTATCATTTATAAATATTTTCAAATTTTTAAATAAAACAATTTAAAATCTTTAAATCTAAAATTTTTAAAGTGTTGAATAAAATAGATATATTTCAAGATATATATTTGTTTAAATAGATCATAAGTACTGTATATAGAAAATATGACTATTTATAGATAATGTATCATAATTTTTTTTGACTAAATTAATAGGTAAAATTAATTACACTTTTAATTTAAAAAAATAATTAATTTAAACTAAGTTAATTGATATATAGCGTAATTATATATTGTAATATCAATATATAAATAACTATAATAATTATTATTATAAATATTTGTTATATTTATGATATAAATATTATTTTGATAAATTAAATATTGTTGTATATAATCTATATATTTACAGTATATTTATATAAAATATAATATATATATATATATATAATTATATGATTATTATTATTGCATAAACTGATAGCAAACCCGATAAATTATATGCCATAGTATGAGCAGCCAAGCCATCTGTTGTCCAAAGTTGAGGACTAGGAGTTTGATTGGAGTGATGATGGGCTGAACCCGGACTTTGGCCCAAATGAACGCCCTATACATTGTTTGTAAGAGAGAGAGAGAGAGAGAGAGAGAGAGAGAGAGAGAGAGAAGAAAGAGAGATAATATAGAAAAAATTCAAATAAAATACGATATATAAATATAATAATAAATGAAATAACAACCATGATAAAATGGCACAGTTATGTATGATTATGGCAGTGCTTATATAGATATATATATATATATTTATATGATATTAATATTTATATAGTATATGATTGAAATGGCGGACGTGGCGTTTTTTCTAAATATTATTATCAAATAATTTTTAGATATACTGTATATATATATAGTTATTTAGATTTAGATTTTATTTTTTCATAATCAATTTATACGTATCATAGTTTATATATATATGGTATCGCACCGTTATATATATATATATATATTTAATACTACTATAATATTAAAGATTAAATAATAAATATATATATATATATATATAATATTATACGAAAATAAAGTTTCCTGGTCTCTAAATTCATAATCATTTTATATAAGATACTAGAGTTTATCATCAAAATAATTTTCGTATAGATATATATAATATAATCGGTGGTAAAAAAGATAACTGCGATACCAAATATCAATTATATTTATATATATTTATATTTTTCATGATATGCCATTCATTTCCACAATAATAAACATATTATAAATTAAATAACTGTTTATAAAAACAATAAAACTACTACTAATAATAATATAATATAAAACAAGATTTTATAAAATATAAATTATTGCTAACAAATAAAGTATAATTAATATTTAGTATTTTATATTAAATTAAATATATTGTATTTGTATATTAACTGGTAGTTTAATAATAATAATAATTAAGAAAAATAAAATAAAAAGTAACCTGAAATGGGAATCGGGATGAAAAGGGTGATCCTGTATGATTGGTGCCAAATGAATGTATTGTATCGCCGCCCGATGTTTGCGGCATCGATGTCACTGTCCACGATGGCGACGACCGCACCGAACCGTTATTTTGATGATCGCTGCCACCGCTATCGACACCGGCCACCGCTGCCGACGATGTACTACCGTATTGGCCATTATTCGTTCCGTGCGTTCTGTACAATGATTGCATGTACGGTGAATCCTGATTGGCAAACTGTGCCGATCCGACATTGGTATACAGGTGGGCATGGAGTCCATTACCGGCATCGGCCGAGTGATGACCGAGTAGTGACGGCTTGGTGTCGTTGTGCAAAAAATGTTGGCCACCCGACTGTATCAAAACAGGCGATCCGTGCTGTACCGAGTGGTGCTGCTGTTCGATAATAGTATTGGACGGACTGTGGAGTTCCCGGTGCTGCTGCTGTTGCTCATGGATTTCCCGTTTGAGGCCATATGTGTGCGGCGATTGTTTTGTGTCGTGCGTTACTATATGGGTGTGCGGCGCTTCGGTAATCACATTGATGTGACCATCGATTATGACGTGTCGACTCTGTTGCTGTTGTTGCTGCTGGTGATGGTGTTGTTGTTGTTGATGATGATGGCCACCACCGGCCAGCTCTGATTCCTGGCTAGTCGGAGGTTCATTATTATTATTATCGTTGATATGTAAAGACGTTGTCGTAGTTGTCGTAGTAGTTGTCGTTCCTCCGGTCTGTGCTTCCGACATATGTTCGCCGACCGCCGTTCCCGGCGATGACCTGCTATGAGCGCCGACACTACCAGTGCTTTGTTGTTGCGCTGACTCATTGATATCTTTGGCGATATCTTGTGCACCAGTTTGCTGGTGCTGTTCATCTGATAACGCCATTGTTATATAGATATATATTTATATATTATGTGTGTGTATATATATATAGTCAGCAATTAGTTTATAAGATATATAAGTTTTATAAGATATAGTGAAAGATATCAATTACAGTGTATATATAACATACACACACACTGGTAATATACACACAAATTTTTATTAATATATTACACTATATTATAATAAGTTGCTATGTGTCGTCGACAATCTATGTTTAATTTCATATATTCATATATAGATATATTTAGTTGAAAAATATACCACAATTATAATGTTTTAACAAATATAAAGCTCTCTCTCTCTCTCTCTCTCTGTCTCTCTCTCTCTCTCTCTCTCTCTCTCTCTCTCTCTCTCTCTCTCTCTCTCTCTCTTTCTCCTCACAATCAAAACCCTCGATAAGATTGTAGTCATGGATAGCAAAAGCAAATAACTGTAATATCGCAAAGTTCACCAAAAAAAAATAAATTTATATATACTGTATATACTCTTTATTGAATATACAATACTTATCAATTGATAGATATTGTGAATAAATATATACAAACCATTTAGTCAATGATATCACTTATGTCTTATAAATTTTTATATATGAATATACAGTTATCTTTGTTAGATACTTTTATATATTATGTTATATATATATGTATAGTATAAAAATCAAACATTACGCTGGAATGTACTGTATTTACAAATACATTACAATACTTGTAAACTTAATATAGAATATATTATTATATATAATTAAAAAAAATAAAATTAAAATACTATATACCAAAGCTATTAGTGATATTTAATGTAATCAATCTAATGTAAAAAATTATATTACCCTTGTCAATATAATATCAAGCTTAAATATTATTTTTTAGAAACTACAATAATTATATATTTATAGTTAATAATAATAAGTACAATAGTATCCAGGTTGTATAGCGCCACATAGTTGTAAATTCATAATACTGTATATAAATATTTTATTTAAAAAAAAACATTTTAATCTAGTGCTTAGAAATTTTGTTTGTAGTCTAATTAACTAAATCTACATAGTTAAATTATAATAAAATAATTAAAATTTAGACAAATTTATTTTAATATTTAATTTATATAAATATTATATAATATAATACAAGAACATTATACATAATTTACATAATAAAAACACTTTTAAAAAACTAGAATCATTGAAGAATTAAATAAAACCAGTTGAGAATGCTTTAAAAGCATTTCCACACGAATTCCTTAACTTAAAAAAGGAAAAAATTTAAAAAAAATATAAAAAACAGTTGAGAATGCTTTAAAAGCATTTCCACACGAATTCCTTAACTTAAAAAAGGAAAAAATTTAAAAAAAATATAAAAAACAGTTGAGAATGCTTCAAAAGCATTCCCATACGATCTCCTTAACTTAAAAAAGAAAAAAAACCAAAAAAAAAAATCAAAAAAAAATTTTGTAGCGGAGCCTGGATTCGAACCTATGTCCTCGTGGGACAGACAGACAGACGGACAGACTTTTAGAATGCATATACGTATTCCTTTCAGGAATTCGTGAAAATATTATTGTTGTAATGCATGCAATTAGACAAATAAAACTATAATTAAAATTCAGTTATAATTTTTAGTATTCTCTAAATATGAAAAATTAAATTTTATAATTTTTAAATTTTTATGTAATAATTATTAACATCATATTTTAATATTTAATATATCAATGATTTTTTATTTGTAATTGAAATCATTGACTAGTATTTACAGTGTTATTACTATGCCATTGATTTCAATGAATGAGATAATGATTTCGATTTAAGTGATAATCAATTGGATTACGAGATAAACAATTGGATGACTTATATATTGAATTGGATTATTGAATAAATACAATAAATATATTTATCGAATTCAATATATTAGTCATCCAATTGTTTATCTCGTAATCCAATTGATTATCACTTAAATCGAAATCATTATCTCATTCATCGAAATCAATGTTATGACAGTTAGTTGTATTGAATTTAGTTATTATATTATAATTACTATTATTTGCTATATTAATTGGTTTTGCATTATTAATTAGATAACATTTTAGTAAAAAAAATGCAACGAATCATCTCATCATATATTTTCAATAAACAGTTAGCTCTTTATAAAAATGTTTTTATTACAAGTATTCAAATACTGATTGTATGTTTTAATTATTACTTTTTTATTAATCAATTTAAAAAAAAGGACTTCACTGTTATTGTTGTCAACGATTGCTGTTAATCATCATTGGTATCGCCAACACCAACACCAACAACAACAGTGTCAGATGAGACAGACATTATCACAATTAGCGATTGAGACGTGTCTTAGATTTAGATGTCCATCAGCGGCGGCGATGATGACTATAAGATTTGCTCAATTGTTGACCAATGATGACGATGACAATCAATGGATAAACAATGTTTACGATAAATGTATTGATAGTATGGTAAAAGTTATGAGACTCGATAAAACTAAAGATGGCTGTGCATATATGGGCACCGGTTGGATAGTTGATGCAACTAATGGTCTAATTGTTACCAATTATCATAACGTTCGTGACTATCATTATGTTATCCTAAGGCTGGCCTATAGTTTTACAGTACGAGACTTCTTGACTGACCTACACTATAAGGATCCAGTTATAAGAGATAATAGTTTAATAGAATACTGGTGGGCACAGGTAGTCTATGTTGAACCCCATCTGGATCTGGCACTAGTGTCATTGCCTGCGATTAGCTCCAGACGCTTGACTCAGCTTAAGATTGCCAACAAAGACATCACATTTGGCGATCAAGTTATGGCCATTGGATTTCCCGATTTGGACAAATCAGTGATAACCGGTATAATAAAATACGAACACTATTTTGATAGTATGACACAGGGATGGTTTTACTATCAGGACCTCCTGTGGCCCACAAACCAGTTATATATGTTTGCATCGACTACTGCTTCAAAAGGCTGTTCCGGCGGAGCAGTGGTCAACACGGATGGTCAAGTGGTGGGAGTATTATTTAGTACTAGTTTTAGACTATTGACTATTACTAGAAGACAGGATCTGTTAGGTATTGTACTATCAATTTACATACAAAAGTGTTATACTATTTTCAATAACTTTGTTTTTTCTATTTTATCTCTCTCTCTCTCTCTCTCTCTCTCTCTCTCTCTCTCTCTCTCTCTCTCTCTCTCTCTCTCTCTCTCTCTCTCTCTCTCTCTCTCTCTCTCTCTCTCTCTCTCTCTCTTTCTTTCTCTCTCTCTCTCTCTCTCTCTCTCTCACACACACACACACACACACACACACACACACATTGTCTAACCATTCAATTGATTGAAGATTTTATGGACAGGGCTAATGGCAAAGGACAAGAAATTAGACAAAAATTAGTTAATGAAAGAAAACAGTTGTATTCCTCAGGCAAACCATTTATCGGTGTTGTCGTCAAATACTTCACTAATAGCCAAACTTATTGTATCGATAAATATATTCCGTACGCCATGAATGTCAGGTATTTAAAGTTAATTACAGTATATATATATATATAATCTAAGTAATAATATCTATATAACAATAATAAAACTAATTTAGTAATGTTTAATCATTATTAACAACAAAAAATTGCAATCTATTAGAGAAAACTTTGAAATTGGAGATCAAATTATAGCAATCGATAAAAAATCAGTTAATAATTTTGATGACTTAATGACAGCTATTAATCGGTTATCTATTGGACAGTCAACTGAATTAGTGGTTAAAAAACTTAATACACAACAAGTGATTACTATTAACATTAATCCACAAAATATTCAAAACTCTTGTTTTATTTAATATGTAATTAATCTTTTAACGATAATAAAAAACAATTTAATTAATTAGTTTAGTTATATAACAAAAAAAATAAAGATTTAGTTGTAGATTTAATATTCGTAAATTTTATTAATAAAAATATTTAATTACAGATATAATGATACTATTATAATAAAATAAACTATTTTTTTAACAAACATTTAAAATATAATACATGTACATAAAACAGATAATAGCAAAAATATATGAATTAACTTTAAACTAATGTTAAATAAAAAAAAATACAAATTATTAAATTAAAAATTGATATAATATTTTATACAAAATACTGTACAGATTGTAATTTAGATAAATACATGTTATTAAAATGATTAATTAATTTGATGGTTCAATTGAATCAAACAATTGCTATAATTACTAATTAAACTAATATTATACTGTATTTTATCAACAATAACGTGATTTAAAGTTAAATATATAACAATTATTATTGTGTGAATATATTATTTAAAACGAAATATTAATTACAATCAATTTTTAAAAAATAGCTAACAATAACAAGAAATTATTTTTTTTTTAAAAATAATTACCGGTAATCGCAAAAAAATAATTGGGTTTTTATCGCAAAATATACGTTAGTTTATTAATACACTTTAATATAGTAATAAACTTTGAGACGGACTTAAGAGGAATGACCACCAAATATATGAATCAAAAAAGATGCCGTCAATTGATTTCGATGGCAATGATTATTATTATCACCAAAATGGTGCCATCGGTCAGGTATTATAATAAAATGCATTTTACATTTTAGATAATATTACAAAATTATTGCTTAAAAAATTAGTTATAATTAAAAAGCAAAAAAAAACCTGAAAACCAATAAATTTAATCACTAATGACTAAATCAAATGCAATGTTTGTCTTATAATAATTGTTTGTTTGCTTATGAGGACAGTTGTGCTATATATGTGGGATCTGGTGTTATCGATATTATAGTCTTATCGGTTATACTATGCGTTTGTTGTGGTTGTTGTGGTGTCTGTCTATGGCTAATATGTCGCGGTTTAACTAAACGTAGACGAGATTCAAGTGGTAGTCATTATCAATCACAACCACAACCTGTCATTGTATTTACCGGACAACAGACAGTGCCGATACAACAACAGCAACAACAGCCACACCAACTACCAGTTCAATCAACTGGTGGTCAGTTACCGGTGTCGCCGAGTGGCCAGACAGTAGTCTATGTACCACAAATACAACAACAATCACCTGTCAATGCAGGACAACAACAGCAGTCATCACCAGTAGTTGTGAGACAATCGGTTGACGGAAAACCAATTGATAAACAAAAGTCATAAAAAAAGGTTAACCAATTAAATGCATTTAAATGTTTCAATATTTTTGTTGTGTATTAATATTAATCAAATTTATTGTAAATATCTCTACATATTATTATTATATACCTATTAGTACTGTATATCTGTACTATAAATAGTATTAATCAAATGATTTATACAGTAATTATTAATATAAGAAATTAATAAATAATACGTTATTGATATTCACATAAATTACAAGTCTATTATTGTATTGTATTTAATGTATAACTTGTTTTGAGTGACAAACAAGTTATTGATGTTTAATAGTGTTTTACAGAATATTATTATACAATGTATTGAATAACAAATAATAATAATAAACATTGTATTGACATTTGTTTTATAAACACATATCATAATTGATTCAGTAATTGATTTAATTAATAGTTTTTTTTATATATTAATAATAATTAATTTATTAAATATTTATATATACTGTATATCATATATAAATAGATTGAACTTGAAATGTCCATACATTGTGTTTGCTATTGAATTGACACTATTTATATCATATATCATATGATATATATTAGGCAATCAATTGTCAATAATATGTCAACAATTTTGTGATTACAATAAATGTATTAATTGTTGTTATTTTATTTATTTCATCAAAGTTGTGATATATATATATATATATATATGACAAACAATAGGATTAATGTGATCTAAATAATAATAAATTGTTATTATATCATATGATATATAGACAATGACTGATACGGCCATCGGCGGCGGCGGCGGCGGCGGCTTTGCAATGGTAGTCGGACCCCGATTTGCACCGCTGGCCAAACCAGTGTGTCTGCAACGACTCGAACGGGCACTACGTTTGGACGGTTTAGTAGCACAGGTCGAGAGGACACTCAACGATAAGAGGTATGTATGAATGACCAGCCGTTTTATGGTCACAATTATCATATGTTTATGAATATCGATATTAATATCAAAATTTGATTATTTATTTTGATTGTAAAGTTTGGACGAAGAGCTGAACACAACGGTCTCTAAACAGCAATCGAAAGCAGTGAAGACACGAATCTATAATTTGTCGAAAGTCAAGAAAAACAAGAAATGGCTTAAAAATATACTTTTGGATAAAACAGACGACGAAGACGACGACTCGTCCGCTAATTCGGACATTGAATCCGAACTGAAAGCCGACGATTGTATTCGCGAAATGCTTCGCTTTCATAGACTCGATAAGAAAGTTCGCAAAGAGTGTAGACTTCAAACTGATCCGCAACAACAACTCATGCAATATCAACACTACAGTACAAGTCTATTGAATCCAATTCAAGAACAGTTTATGGTATCAACCAATACTAATAAGACTCCAAACAGTCGATCAAAATCAGCCAAAGTTTCTGTCTCTAAGTCTAAGAAATCTAAAACAACAACAACAACAATAACAACACCAGCAATTGCTGTCATCTCAAACGTTACCACTAATAATGCGGCGATAGAAGTGAAAACCGAGGACACAAACAACACTAATTTACCCACAATTACTGATCCGCTGGCACTGCTCGACAAACCGATAAAAGTGGAAAAGATTGGATTGGATGACATCACATATGATACACAATTGCCAAAAGAAATACTTCAAACGGAAAGTTCAAATACATCACCATTTGTGGAACTATCGGTCACTTCTAGCTTTACTCAGTCATCGAATGTGACGAATCTGTTGCCCGACGATATCTTTGACACTGAAGAGTCGTGCGGTTCAGTACTATCTCAAACATTATCACAGCCAACACCCACACACCCGACGATGACTAACTTTTCGATGCCAAAGTGCGCAACAGCTCCGACAACACCGACTTGTTTAAGTCCATCGACATCACCTGTATTGCCATCGCGAGCGTCGAAACGATCGACAAAGAAAAAATCGACGACAACTTCACTGATCAGTGACGAGTCCACTATGAATGCCCGCCGAAAACGTTTATGGATTACGATTGCCCGCAAAGAGATACCCAAACTTTACAAACAAAAACAAATGTTGCGAAAGGAAGCGTTGAACAACTGCAAGAAGATTGCCAATTGGTGTCAACGCCAACAACGAAAGCGAACGCTTATCCATCAGAAACAGTTATGTCGTGACCAATACCCCAGAGCTCGACGGCTAACCAAAGAGATGTTACTCTATTGGAAACATTTTGATAAAGTGGAGAAAGATTATAGAAAAAGGGCTGAAAAGGAGGCACAGGAACAGATGAAGTTCGATATTGAGCTTCTGGAGGCTAAACGACAACAACGTAAACTCAATTTTCTTATTACACAAACAGAATTGTATTCACATTTTCTGTGCCGTAAGATATTGAGATCAGCTGAAAGCCAATCATTAGATAAACAACAATCAATTGTTGAACAGTTAGATGAAATACCGTTAACATTGTCCAGCGGTTTAGTAGATAACTATGATTCGGATGAACAAAAACGCGATGCTATTAGCAAAGCCCAGACAGCACTGTTAGCTCATCGTCACCGGACAACTGTTTTCGATACTAAAATAACTGACAAATTATCGACAGATGTTTGCGTATTAGATCCGCAAAACATGGCCGAAGAAGAAGAAGACTTATCGCAACCCAATCTGTTTTGCGGTTTTCTCAAATCCTATCAACTGAAAGGTGTGAATTGGTTATACAATTTGTATGTCAACGGAATTAACGGTATTCTGGCTGACGAAATGGGTTTGGGAAAGACTGTCCAAACGATTGCCTTTTTGGCCACTTTAACCGAAAGATTGAAAATTTGGGGTCCATTTCTTATAATAGCTCCTACATCGACACTACACAACTGGCAACAAGAGTTGACCCGATTTGTGCCAAAGTTTCGTGTATTGCCTTATTGGGGAAATCCTAACGACCGGAAAGCATTGCGGAAGCTGTGGAACAAATATCTTCATTGCGAAGAATCGCCATTTCATGTACTAATTACTAGCTATCAGATTGTCATACAAGATGCCAAATATTTTCAACCACTCAATTGGCTTTATATGGTGTTAGACGAGGCACAGGCTATCAAAAGCTCATGCAGTCAGCGCTGGAAGCATTTGCTATCGTTTCAGTGCCGTAACCGACTACTCCTAACCGGAACACCCGTACAGAACAGTATGGGTGAACTGTGGGCACTGTTGCACTTCATAATGCCTACAATGTTTGACAGTCATCAAGAATTTGCCGATTGGTTTTCAAAAGACATCGAAAGTCACGCCGAAAACAAATCAGCCATCGATGAGAAACATTTGTCGCGATTGCATATGATTTTGAAGCCATTTCTATTGAGACGTTTTAAAAAAGATGTCGAAAACGAATTGTCCGACAAGATTGAGATGAAATTGTTGTGTCCACTGACCACACGTCAGCGTCAACTGTATTGCGCTCTTCAGCATAAGCTATCTCTCGACGAACTGGTGGCCACTAACGTACAAACGACTACAACTAGTCTCATGAATCTTGTGATGCAATTTCGTAAAGTCTGTAATCATCCGAATTTGTTTGAAAGACGCCAAATGGTGTCGCCGTATGCCATGAAATTACAGACATATATTCTTCCGAGTCTTATCTATGAATCGGGTCTTTGTTTTGATTCATTTGAATTTAATTCATTGAGACATCAATTATTGTATAAAGTTTTCAACATTTTTAACTGTGATTACATTAATGAATCATTACTCAAAAATGACGACCCGTTTAAATGTTTTTCATTTATGCCATTAATTGGCTTAACTGGTAGTCAACTGTTTAGACAATTTGTTTGTACAAATCTACTGATTAATTGTTGGCAAAACATTTTACATGAAATATCTTTGAGATCTAATTTCTACAACAATATTCAATGGTCTGAATCTGAGAACAGTACTAAACAATTACTATTAATACCATTGAAAACAACTTATTTTTCACACAATTACCACAATAGACAACAAACAGAATCCTCTAATCTATGGACTCATATGTTGTTTACTTGGTCTCAAAGTAGTTACATCTATACGTTTACTCGACAATCGCTTCGCTATATATCTGATTCACTAAAAGATCGTGAGATGCGATTGAAAGAAACAAAGATAAGCAAAGATGAACTGAACAATAAATGTGATAATTATAACAGCGATAGTGAGACACAAACATCGCCAACGATTAGCCGATACCTCGACTCCATTCAGAAGGTTCTGTGTCCACGTATTTACGATTGCGAACCCACATCCATACCATTGTTTTTATCCATGAATTGCTTGAATCAGACAAATGGTCTAAAAGTTATTAGCCAACCGATGCCTATGTTTTCTCGCAGTAGACGTGCAATGAATCGTTATTTTATAGAAATAAAAGGAGGAAATGTTGATATAAAACAATTACTGATTACCGGTAATGTCCTGACCGATGGTCTGTACTTACATTCACATGAAATAATTGAAAAACAAAAGACACAATTTTATCCCCAACCACTTAACGGCATACTAGGTCTACGTAAGCTGAATGGTTGGTCTCCTATTGAAGTACCCGATCGAGAGTCTATAGTTACAGATTCGGGAAAAATGAAAATATTAGACGATTTGTTGAAAAAATTGAAGAACGAAGGACATCGGGTATTGATATATTGTCAGATGACTCGTATGATTGATCTGCTAGAAGAATATATGTGTCTACGAAAGCACAGTTATATTCGTTTGGACGGCTCGTCAAAGATTAGCGACCGACGAGATATGGTCGAAGATTTTCAGAACAAATCCGATATATTTGTGTTTCTGTTGAGCACAAGAGCTGGCGGATTGGGTATCAATTTGACCGCTGCCGACACTGTTATCTTCTATGACAGCGACTGGAATCCAACTGTTGATCAGCAGGCAATGGACAGAGCACACCGATTGGGCCAAACAAAACAGGTGACAGTTTACCGATTGATTTGTAAGGCAACTATCGAAGAACGCATTCTTCAGAGAGCTGAAGAAAAATCACAAATACATCGTATGGTTATCAGTGTCGACACATTCAAACCAGATTTGCTTAAACCAACCGAAATGGTCTCATTGTTGCTCAACGATGAAGATCTTGAACGACGTTTTTGCCAACAACTCGAAGAACGACGGCTACAAATAAAAGAAAGCACTGCAACCACAACAACAGCAACAACACCTGTCAAACAACAAACCAAACGTAAACTAAAAGCCAAACAATCGTCGCCACAATCAGCAAAAGTATTGGCAAATTGACTAACACTTTGTCTTGAATTTTATTTAACTAAAAGTTATAAATATTAAGTGAAATTTATTTATTTATTTATTAGAAAAAATGTTCGAAACGTTTTAATCCGGAAAATAATGAAATTTTTAAAGATATATCCCATTATTCTGTGGATGATATTGAGTCATATAATGACAACGAATCTGAATCTAACAGTCCTTATAGCGAAGTTAGTCATTGAATCAATTGATTAAAATAAAATTCATTATTAAGTTATCGTAAAATTAATTTTTAATTCAATTTTTTTTATAGCAAATGCTTAGCATTACAACTGAAGGCGACTGTAATAATGATGAGTTGTATGTCGACGACCACAACAGTCTCTCATCAATGTCTAGCCCTATGTCCGGTTCGAGTGGCAGAAAAAAGTGTGGCGGAAGAGGTAGAGGTAGACCTCGAGGTTCAAAGACAAGGGCGACAGTAACCACCAGATCTTCATTAACATCGGCAGCATTGGCAGCGGCCGAGTTGGCCGGCGCTCAAGCAGGCAAATCGGCTGCTTTAGCCGTCTATCCGTTTCTGAGTAGTTCACACCAGAGTAGTGGTGGTAATACACAAAATAATAATAATAATAATAACAGTATTGTCGCTAATTTAAATCAACGAAGAAATAGAGGCGCCAGAAGTGGTCGATCTAAGAATTGGACAACAATTGATAATTAATGTAAATTTTTAATGTATTAATTTAATTAGTAATTAAATTGTTATTTGATTTGTTTGTTGAAATAAATATTAATCATTAAAATAATAATTTCTATTAATTTTACTTAAATAATAATAATTATAAATAAATGTTATTTTTAAATAATAAATTTGTATAAAATTTTATTAATAGAAAATCTTAATAAAATATATGAAATTTTTAATATCATATTTAAACAACTTATTATTTTTGTCCAAATGACTTAATATGTCATGGATTGCATATTTATGTATTAAATAATTTTGTAATTATTATTATAGTTTTGATATAAAAGTTAAAGTATGGTTTCAATTTAATGTTTGATGAAAACAATTTTTATGTTTTATTGTACAAAATTTAGTATATTGTAAGTCATTTATAATAGCTATTAAATTTAAAAAAAAAATCAATTTCAATTTTAATAATTATAATAATTTAATATATCTAATTTTTAAAAAATAATAAAATAAATTTAAGTAATATTTATTATAAAATTTTTAAATTAATATAATAAATTAGTTTTAAAAAATAATAAATAAAATAATAAATTAAATTATAAATTTTGTTTTATCATACTTTTGTATTAGTGTAAATAAAATCTTACTAAATCATGATATTTTTTAGTAATAAATTTTGTTTAAAATTTCCATTACACAATATAAAAAATAAAATATCATCTCATTTCTTAATATTAAAAGTAAAATTGCTTAGAGTAATTTAATTTATTTTCTAATATATTTATGAAATTAAAAAAGTATAAAAAGAAACATTAAATAAAATTAATTTTAGTTTTAAATCAGTAAAATTTGAATTATAATTTTATTATTTTTAATTTATAATGTTGTTCAATAATTTAATAATATTTTATTTATTATTAATTTCATATCGTAAGTAACAATTATTAATATATTGTTTTGTAACATTAGTTTTAAATATATGTAAATTATATAAATTTGTTTTAATAGCAAAAAGATATTCTTCAGATGAAGCTAAAGACATCACAACTGATGAATTTGAAAATACCTGTGTGAATCAAATCAACATTTATCGAGAACTACATAATGCTAAACCTTTAACTTTAAACAGAGAAGTAGTCATAATTTTAAACAACTTAAATTAAAATTTATAATTTTATTTCTGAAATATATTTAGCTGGAAGAATATGCTAAAAATAGATGCCTCAAACTCTCGGATATTAAATATTACAATGAAAGTTTTGTTGCTTTGGATAACGATATAGGAGAACTAAGATTTGTGAATAAATGGGCTGAAACCAAGGACTACACATGTCGTAGAGTTGTTAACGAATGGTTAGTTATTAGTTTAAACAAATAATTTATAAACAAAATAAATTTTTAAAAAATCAAATTTAATAAATATATATTTCAAATAATAAATAGGTACAAACTTAATCGCTTTTTTAACTATACGTCTTCAACACCGCTTGCTCCGTTTAAAACAAAGAATAAATACACATTTAATGGTTTGCAATCATTTGCACAATTGGTATGGAAAAAAACAACTAGTATTGGCTGTGCTAAATGCACTATACATATATCTGTAACTCGCTATGATGCCACAACTTATGTATGCGAATTTAAACCCAGAGGTAATATTGCCGGAGAGTATGGTTATGTTGGAAGACCCCATTAATTTAACTGATTATTTTTTATATTATTTTCAACTGTTTTTTTTTTATTAATTATTAATAAAATAATTTAATTGTTATTAAATAAAAAATTACTGAAAAAATTTGACAATTCTAAATCTCTTCAATTTACTACAAAAAATACCTTTATTTTTGTTATTAATTTGTTAAATAAAAAACAAAAAATACAGTATCATAAGTACTTTTATAAAATATATTTATAATTTTATCCAAAATGATACAATTATATAAATGATTTAATTATTGTAATAATTAGCATTTTTTCTTTTTTATCAAATTTTATAAATTATAATATATTATTAACAATCGCATGGTTCACATTCTTTGGTAAATTTTTTGTATCGGTTCCCAATCTTTTCCATTTCAATTTTACAATATGTGATCTATAATTGAAAATTAAAAGATTATTTAATAATAATATAAATTATTATAAAAAACAATACATTAATTATTCACATTAATAAAAGCATATGTTTAGTATTGCGCAATAAATAAAATTAAAATATTTAAACAAGGTTGTATTTAAGAAATTTTGAGCCATTTATGAAAATTGACTCGTTTTTACATTGATTAGTCTACACTAAATTGACCATGGTCAGCACCTAAATGATATTAATTTTTAGCTTTTTACACTTTATAAACAGCAAAATGCAGTTACTATTATGAGTCTTCTCACGGTTTACTTAATTTTATAATTATTTAAATGTAATTTTTGTCTATTGATAACTAAGTTATTATTATATGAATTATACATTACTTGTTGGCATTTGTTGTCATAAAACTTAAGATATTGTGATTCAGATTCATTTGGTTGACATTCTCTAACATATCTAATAAAATAATAAAATCCACAGACAGTACCCACATATCGACTTTTATGTATAAATGTTTTCTCCAAATCTATTTCGCCTTTTCTATCATTATATAGTAATAACTCATTATATGCTTGTATTAGCTCAGGTGTCCAATTGGATATTAATTTGTATGTTAAACCAGATCTAAAATATCCTCCATTAGTAAACATTGGTATCATTATGACTGATAGCGACAATATTAATATTATCGGTTCAAACAATTTTACTTTTAAACACATAATTAATTATTACATATAAATATATTTAAACAAAAAAGTATTATTTAAATTGTTTAAAAATCAATTAATAAATGGCGAAAAATTAATTTCCTTTCTTTACAAAAAAATCTGTATTTTTCTTAAATACTATAATTATATATTTTTATCATTATATACAGTAGTTTTTTAATTATTTTTTATTAGGAAATAAAATATGTTAATTTAGTATTAAAACATTTAAGTAAACATTTTAATTAATTTTAATAAATTATTAGTAAAACTAATATTTTTTATAAAAATCACAAATACATCGTATGGTTATCAGTGTCGACACATTCAAACCAGATTTGCTTAAACCAACCGAAATGGTCTCATTGTTGCTCAACGATGAAGATCTTGAACGACGTTTTTGCCAACAACTCGAAGAACGACGGCTACAAATAAAAGAAAGCACTGCAACCACAACAACAGCAACAACACCTGTCAAACAACAAACCAAACGTAAACTAAAAGCCAAACAATCGTCGCCACAATCAGCAAAAGTATTGGCAAATTGACTAACACTTTGTCTTGAATTTTATTTAACTAAAAGTTATAAATATTAAGTGAAATTTATTTATTTATTTATTAGAAAAAATGTTCGAAACGTTTTAATCCGGAAAATAATGAAATTTTTAAAGATATATCCCATTATTCTGTGGATGATATTGAGTCATATAATGACAACGAATCTGAATCTAACAGTCCTTATAGCGAAGTTAGTCATTGAATCAATTGATTAAAATAAAATTCATTATTAAGTTATCGTAAAATTAATTTTTAATTCAATTTTTTTTATAGCAAATGCTTAGCATTACAACTGAAGGCGACTGTAATAATGATGAGTTGTATGTCGACGACCACAACAGTCTCTCATCAATGTCTAGCCCTATGTCCGGTTCGAGTGGCAGAAAAAAGTGTGGCGGAAGAGGTAGAGGTAGACCTCGAGGTTCAAAGACAAGGGCGACAGTAACCACCAGATCTTCATTAACATCGGCAGCATTGGCAGCGGCCGAGTTGGCCGGCGCTCAAGCAGGCAAATCGGCTGCTTTAGCCGTCTATCCGTTTCTGAGTAGTTCACACCAGAGTAGTGGTGGTAATACACAAAATAATAATAATAATAATAACAGTATTGTCGCTAATTTAAATCAACGAAGAAATAGAGGCGCCAGAAGTGGTCGATCTAAGAATTGGACAACAATTGATAATTAATGTAAATTTTTAATGTATTAATTTAATTAGTAATTAAATTGTTATTTGATTTGTTTGTTGAAATAAATATTAATCATTAAAATAATAATTTCTATTAATTTTACTTAAATAATAATAATAATTGTAAATAAATTTTATTTTTAAATAATAAATTTGTATAAAATTTTATTAATAGAAAATCTTAACAAAATATATGCAATTTTTAATATCATATACAAAACATTTTTAAAATTCGTAATCTCTAAAAAAAAATTAAAAAATACATTTTTTGTCAGATCATTGACTTGATGTCCGACCACTTATAAACAACTGTATAAACAAACTTCTAAATTACTTCAATTTATTACAAAAATATCTATATTTTTATTATTAATACACTATCATAACTAATTTTTAAAAATATATTTATAATTTTATTGAAAATTATTGTTTTAATTATTGTAATAATTTGCATGTTTCTTATTATCAAATTATTATAAATTATAAAATATTATTAACAATCGCATGGTTCACATTCTTTGGTAAATGTTTTGTATCGGTTCCCAATCTTTTTCATTTCAATTTTACAATATGTGATCTATAATTGAAAATTAAAAGATTTTTAAATAATAATATAAATTATTATAAAAAAAAACAATACATTAATTATTCACATTAATAAAAGTATCGGTTACGTATTGAGCAATAAATAAAATTACAGTATATAACAAGCATTAAGTTTGAGTGAAAATTTTGACGTCATAGAGTATTGTTTGAATTCAAAATAATGTAATATATATATACAGGGGTCCTCAAAACTTTTTCTCCAAAATTAGATAAATTTAATATAAATACATATATTTTATTTTTACGTAAAAATTTTATATAAATAAATAAATAATCTTAAAAAAAAAATCTGGAAAAAATTAATTAAAAAAATTAATTAATTTTGTTAATTATGTATTTTATTTATGATATATCATTGCTATTTTATTAACACGATTAATAATTAAAATATTTTATTTTATTTTATAACATTTAATTAAACATTTTTATTTATTTATATAAAACTTTTACATTAAATAAAATATATGTATTTATATTAAATTTATCTAATTTTGGAGAAAAAGTTTTGAGGACCCCAGTATATATATATATTATTATTTTAAATTCAAACAATACTCTATGACATCAAAATTTTCACTCAAACTTAATGCTTGGTATATAAACAAAGTTGTATTTAAGAAATTTTTGAGCCATTTATGAAAATTGACTCGTTTTTACATTGATTAGTTTACACTAAATTGACCATGGTCAGCACCTAAATGATATTAATTTTTAGTTTTGTTTCACTTCATAAACAGCTACATGCAGTTACTATTATTAGTTTACTTAATTTAATAATAATTGAAAATTATTTATTAAAAATTATTTTAAAAAGTAATTATTGTTAGAAAACTCAAAAGTTCTATTGATAACTAAGTTATTATTAAATGAATTATACATTACTTGATGGCATTTGTTGTCATAAAAATTAAGATATTGTGATTCAGTTTCATTTGGTTGACATTGTCTGACATATCTAATAAAATATGAAAATGCATAGACAGTACCCACATATCGACTTTTATGTATAAATGTTTTCTCCAAATCTATTTCGCCTTTTCTATCATTATATAGTAATACCTCCTCATATGCTTGTCTTAGCTCAGGTGTCCAATTGGAGAAATCATATGTTAAACCAGATTTAAAATCTCCTCCATTAGTTAACATTGGTATCATTATGACTGATAGCGATAATATTAATATTATCGGTTCAAACAATTTTACTTTTAAACACATAATTAATTATTACATATAAATATATTTAAACAAATCCAAAGTATTATTTAAATTGTTTAAAAATCAATTAATAAATGGAGAAAAATTAATTTCCTTTCTTTACAAAAAAAACTGTATTTTTCTTAAATACTATAATTATATATTTTTATCATTATATACAGTAGTTTTTTAATTATTTTTTATTAGGAAATAAAATATGTTAATTTAGTAATCAAACATTTAAGTAAACATTTTAATTAATTTTAATAAATTATTAGTAAAACTGATTTTTTATAAAAATTTTGAAAATTATTTACTAATTATTTTTAGAAAAATTACAATCAAATACAAGTAAAAATAAATTATTAAATTAACTGTAGTCTAACTTTGATAACAATTTGTTTTAACTTTTTTAATAGCTGTCTATTGTTAGACTGACTTATTTTTATTAAATATTTGTTTATTTAATTAAGATATTCTATAATAGTAATATTTAAAATATAAATTTCTAATTAGTCAATTAGTCAATTAAATTAGCGGGGATATCCAACATTATAATAATACTCTCCGGGAATATTACCGCGAGGTTTAAACTCGCATACATAAGTCGTTGAGCTAGCGGGCTATAATACACGCTCGCGCTATAATACACGCTCGCGCTATAATACACGCTCGCGCTATAATACACGCTCGCGCTATAATACACGCTCGCGCTATAATACACGCTCGCGCTATAATACACGCTCGCGCTATAATACACGCTCGCGCTATAATACACGCTCGCGCTATAATACACGCTCGCGCTATAATACACGCTCGCGCTATAATACACGCTCGCGCTATAATACACGCTCGCGCTATAATACACGCTCGCGCTATAATACACGCTCGCGCTATAATACACGCTCGCGCTATAATACACGCTCGCGCTATAATACACTACCGCGCTATAATACACGCTCGCGCTATAATACACTACCGCGCTATAATACACGCTCGCGCTATAATACACGCTCGCGCTATAATACACGCTCGCGCTATAATACACGCTCGCGCTATAATACACGCTCGCGCTATAATACACGCTCGCGCTATAATACACGCTCGCGCTATAATACACGCTCGCGCTATAATACACGCTCGCGCTATAATACACGCTCGCGCTATAATACACGCTCGCGCTATAATACACGCTCGCGCTATAATACACCACGCTCGCGCTATAATACACCACGCTCGCGCTATAATACACGCTCGCGCTATAATACACGCTCGCGCTATAATACACGCTCGCGCTATAATACACGCTCGCGCTATAATACACGCTCGCGCTATAATACACGCTCGCGCTATAATACACGCTCGCGCTATAATACACCACGCTCGCGCTATAATACACGCTCGCGCTATAATACACGCTCGCGCTATAATACACGCTCGCGCTATAATACACGCTCGCGCTATAATACACGCTCGCGCTATAATACACGCTCGCGCTATAATACACGCTCGCGCTATAATACACGCTCGCGCTATAATACACGCTCGCGCTATAATACACGCTCGCGCTATAATACACGCTCGCGCTATAATACACGCTCGCGCTATAATACACGCTCGCGCTATAATACACCACGCTCGCGCTATAATACACGCTCGCGCTATAATACACGCTCGCGCTATAATACACGCTCGCGCTATAATACACCACGCTCGCGCTATAATACACCACGCTCGCGCTATAATACACCACGCTCGCGCTATAATACACCACGCTCGCGCTATAATACACGCTCGCGCTATAATACACGCTCGCGCTATAATACACGCTCGCGCTCACGCTCGCGCTATAATACACGCTCGCGCTATAATACACGCTCGCGCTATAATACACCACGCTCGCGCTATAATACACCGCGCTATAATACACGCTATATAATACACCACGCTCGCGCTATAATACACGCTCGCGCTATAATACACGCTCGCGCTATAATATAATACACGCTCGCGCTATAATACACGCTCGCGCTATAATACACGCTCGCGCTATAATACACGCTCGCGCTATAATACACGCTCGCGCTATAATACACGCTCGCGCTATAATACACGCTCGCGCTATAATACACGCTCGCGCTATAATACACCCCGCTCGCGCTATAATACACGCTCGCGCTATAATACACGCTCGCGCTATAATACACGCTCGCGCTATAATACACGCTCGCGCTATAATACACGCTCGCGCTATAATACACGCTCGCGCTATAATACACGCTCGCGCTATAATACACGCTCGCGCTATAATACACGCTCGCGCTATAATACACGCTCGCGCTATAATACACGCTCGCGCTATAATACACGCTCGCGCTATAATACACGCTCGCGCTATAATACACGCTCGCGCTATAATACACGCTCGCGCTATAATACACGCTCGCGCTATAATACACGCTCGCGCTATAATACACCTCGCGCTATAATACACGCTCGCGCTATAATACACGCTCGCGCTATAATACACGCTCGCGCTATAATACACGCTCGCGCTATAATACACGCTCGCGCTATAATACACGCTCGCGCTATAATACACGCTCGCGCTATAATACACGCTCGCGCTATAATACACGCTCGCGCTATAATACACGCTCGCGCTATAATACACGCTCGCGCTATAATACACGCTCGCGCTATAATACACGCTCGCGCTATAATACACGCTCGCGCTATAATACACGCTCGCGCTATAATACACGCTCGCTATAATACACGCTCGCGCTATAATACACGCTCGCGCTATAATACACGCTCGCGCTATAATACACGCTCGCGCTATAATACACGCTCGCGCTATAATACACGCTCGCGCTATAATACACCACGCTCGCGCTATAATACACGCTCGCGCTATAATACACGCTCGCGCTATAATACACGCTCGCGCTATAATACACGCTCGCGCTATAATACACGCTCGCGCTATAATACACGCTCGCGCTATAATACACCTCGCGCTATAATACACGCTCGCGCTATAATACACGCTCGCGCTATAATACACCACGCTCGCGCTATAATACACGCTCGCGCTATAATACACGCTCGCGCTATAATACACGCTCGCGCTATAATACACGCTCGCGCTATAATACACGCTCGCGCTATAATACACGCTCGCGCTATAATACACG